CCCACAGAGAGGGTCTCCTCAGGGTGCCATCGGCCAAATTATGTCGGGGAGGGCCTTCTCTGTGGGAGCCCCTGCCCTTTGGAACGAGCTGCCCCCAGAAATTCGTAAAATCTCTGATCTCCGTGGATTTCGCTGTGCCCTCAAAACCTTGTTGTTCCACCAGGCTGGGCTATCAAGGTAAAGATTTTAATTGGGTTTTTAAAAATGGGATTTTAAATTTGGGGTTTTAAATTGAGCCTATCATTTAATAATTTTAATTTATTTTAAATTCTGTCTGTCTTTGTGCTTTTAATCAGGCTGTACACCGCCCTGAGTCCTTCGGGAGAAGGGCGGTATAGAAATTAATTAAATAAAATAATAAAATAAAATAAAATAAATAAATAAATAAATAAATAAAATGACAATGGCACTGAAAAAAGAGACTTAGTTAGGACCATTTTTCACACTTATGACCGTTGCAGCATCCCCAGGGTGATTTACATTCGGAGGCTTGACAGTTGACTCACCTTTTTTTTCCTGGCAGCCAGCAAACACTCCCAATGGGCAGCAGAGTGTTTGCTGGCTGCCAGAAAAGAAAAGAAAAAAAAAAAGCCTCGAAAATAGTGGATTGTGATTTCACTGAGATAGATAGATACGTATATGCTTTAGCCTGGCAAGATTCTGTCTGTACGCGATAGCAATACAGAAACTGCGGGTGGTCCTTGACTTACAACCGTTCGTTTAACGGCGATTTAAAGTTACAACAGTTACAGGGAGTCCTCGACTTACAACAGTTTGTTTAGTTCAAAGTTACAACGGCACGGAGAAAAGTGACTTACTCCCGCTTTTCACAGTTACCTTTGTAGCATCCCCATGGTCAAAATTCAGAGACTTGGCAACTGGTTCGTACTTATGACCGTTGCAGCGTTCTGGGCAGTGGTGGGTTGCCGGTTCAGACCGGTTCACAAGAACCGGTAGTCAAACCGGTGGGAGGCACCGCCCACCGACCCGGACGTCATCAAGGAGTTCCTGTGCATGCGCGTGGTCCCGTTGCGAACCGGTAGTAAAGGTAAGTAGAACCCACCCCTGGTTCTGGGATCACGTGATCCCCTTTTGTGACCTTTGTTAGGAAATGGTTATTTGTCTAACTAGTTGGTCAGGCAATATTATAAACCAACAATGTATGTTTGCAGTCAGAAAGGTATTATATTGCTTTAAGACTGTATTGCATCATCCTGTATTCTGATTGGCTAAGCTCTGTAGCCAATGTACTTAAGGGAAGTCTGGATCATGGCTTGTGTGGATACTACACCATTTTACCTGCGTACTTGCTGTAACTCTCTACCTGATCTCTCTGCATGATCACTGTTTGATCATAGCTACATGTTGCTTTTTACTATTTATTGAATGTTTTGATATTGAACTTGTTCCTGTTTTGAAACTCAAGAAGAACTGTTTTATTGTGTAATGACTACAACTGGTAAGAAGACTTTGTACTTGAAATATCCCTGGAATAAATATCCCTTTTAACTCTTGTCTTATCTGTGTGTGACTTGGATTGTTTTTGGACTTTGCTTTACTTTTTCTAAAAGTAAAAGACTACAACAACTCAGTGTGTTTGTATGTTGACTGTGATTGTTCACAACCACTCCCAGTCGCTTTTCATGCGTTTACTCAAAGGGTACTCTGCTCAATAACCCACAACATCGGTTATGAGCCAAGAATATCCTTAACAACCTTCTGAAAAGCAGAGTCAAGGGAGGAGCCAGACTCACTTAAGAACCAGGTTACCAATTTATCACTTAACAACTATGGCAAGAAAGGTCGCGAAAGGGAGCAAATCTCACTTTACAAACGTCTCACTTACCAACCCCAGTTTTGGGCTCAACTGTGGTCATAAGTCGAGGACTACCTGTACAGAAACTGCAGGTATTCCTTGCTTTACAAACGTTCGTTTAATCACCATTTAAAGTGACAACGGCGTTGTAAGAAGTGACTTATGACCAGTTTTCACACTTGTGACGGTGGCAGCATTCCCGCGCAGTCACGTGATCAAAATGTTGCATGCTTGGCCACCGGCATGCATTGAAGACGGTCGCAGCATCTTAATTTGGTTGGATTTGCAACCTTCTTAGGGAGTTGGTCACAAGCAAAGTCAACGGAGAAAGCCAGATTTGCTTAAACACCGCATGATTCGCTTAACAGCTTCCATGATTCGATTAACAACTGTGGCAAGCAGGTCGCAAAATGGGACATGACTCTCTTAACAACATGCCTGCTTATCCGTGGAAATTTTGGGCTCAGTTGTGGTCGTAAGTCGGATACCCTGAAGTAATTCTCCGTGTCGTTGTCGGGTTTTGGGGGCCCAACATTTTACAGTAGTGCCCCAAATTGTGGAAACCTTTTGGGAAAAGTGTATTTACTAAAACTAGCTAATAACATTGTTCCAATTTTTTTGGGAGTAGTACCCTAAAATTATATATCCATGGAAAGATAATTTAATCAAGAAGGTAATGCAATAACATTTAGGAAGGATTTGCTATTAGAAGAGCAGTGACAGAATAAAGAAGAAAAGTGAAACACGTAGAAAAAATGAGATATACAAAAATGATCCCCATAGAAAAAACAAGATATAAAAAAATGATCCCCATGTCAGTGAATACTTCGTTGGGCAACCTTTTGCACGAATGACGGCCTTACCACATCTTCCCATGGAGTCAACCAAGTCTTTGAGTTCTGCAGCTGTTATCATGTGAAACCAAGATTGAATGATGGTTTCAATTAACTAGGTTTTATTGCTGGGTTGCTTCTGACTAACAAGTTTCTTTAGCCATGGATTTTCAATTGGGTTTTAAGGTCCGGGCTATTCCCAGGCCATCCCAGCAGTGGAATAGGATTATCTTGAAACTCCAAAAAAAAAGTGGTGTTATTAGCCCTCAAACCTCAAAAATACACTTTTCCCAAAAAGGTTTCCACAATTTTGGCCACTGCTGTAGCTCCAGCCGCAAAACAGATTTACTCACCAACCACGTGCTATAATTCCAAGGGTCAGTTTCAACGATGGAAAATTGAAGGAAGGACTTCAAAAACTTATCAATTCTCTTTAGAGCCACCCAGCACGCCTGCAGAAGGAAGGAATGACAGGTCTGATTTACGACTGTGGCGAAAGAGATTCACACAGGGGTGTCGAACTCAATTTCATTGAAAGCCCATTGAATGGCTGTGTTGGACCTTGGGGGGTGGGGGCAGGGAGCATGGCCGTGTGTGTGTGCGGCCAGCTCAATGTCACTCATGGTGGGGGGGCACCTGTAGTGGCCAAGAGCTATGGCAGGACTTCCCTGAGACCTTCCCTCACTCACATTATAATCGTCCTTCCTTCCTTCCTTCCTTCCTTCCTTCCTTCTGTTGTGACTCCGACCCCCGAGGCCGACTTATCGGAGGGAGAAGGCTCCGAACATGAAGGAGAGGAGTTGGCCAGGCCTCCCTCTCCAGGACCCTCCTCTCTGGCAATGCCTCAGGTGTCTCCCGAAGGAGAAGAGATTGGCCAGGAGTCAGGTATCTCCTCGCAGTCAGACAGTGACGGAGATAAGTCTTGGCTAGATCCACGCCAGCGTCGGAGAGACAAGCACATGCAGCAGAAAAGGAGGCATGCCAGAGATTAAGTGAGTCATTGGACCACACCCCACAGGGGATAAAAGGGGGTGAGGTGGCCAGTCAGACTCTGTGACGGACAAAACTAACTACTAGCGAGTCACATTGTATCTTTGAAACAACGATATCTGCCTTGGATTTAATACGGACTGGACTTGACAATTCTTGAACTGTGTGTATCTTGTTTGGGTTTATCTGTCGGAGGAACAACCCCTCCCTCTATGAGTAAAGTTCTTGGCAAGCAGCTACTAGGTTGCTGCCAATCCTCTTATCAAAAGAATTTGTTGTCTGCCAGTTTTATTTAACCCCTGGCTATCTGTTTGTGTGCGTGTGTGAGACGGGGACAGAACATCTTCCTTCCTTCCTTCCTTCCTTCCTTCCTTCCTTCCTTCCTTTCTTCCTTCCTTCCTTCCTTCTTTCCCTTTCTCCTTCCCTGTCCCTTCTTGGATGCTCAAATGCAAAAAGGGGAACCATTTTTCCTTTGGTTTTGTATTGCCTTTAGTTTGTTTTGCTAGCTCTCTGCCAGCGAAAATGGAGCCGGGAGGGGGGATTGTGCGCAGCCCCCTTGGACGCTGTTTTCGTCCTTGACGGCTTCCTGCAGCCCTCTGCCAGAGAAAATGGAGCTCGGGAGGGGCACACGCAGCAGAGGGTTGCAGGAGGCCATTGCAGCTGAAAACGGGTCCCGGGGGGGGCACACACTGCCTTTCCGGGCTGTTTTTGCTGGTAGAAGCACAGTGAGCTGGTCCTTCCCTGTTTCCACGGCGGCCCGCTGGCAGGGGTGAAATCCAGCAGGTTCGGGAGAACCGGTAGCGGTAATTTTGAGTAGTTCGGAGAACCGGCAAATACCACCTCTGGCTGGCCCCGGAGTGGGGTGGGAATGGAGATTTTGCAATATCCTCCCCCTGCCATGCCCACCAAGCCACACCCACCAAGCCACGCCCACAGAACTGGTAGTAAAACAAAAATTGAATTTCTCCACTGCCCCTTGGGCCAGATTTAAGGACGCCGCAGGCCGGATGGGCCTTGAATTTGACACACCTGTATTAACCAGATCAGGCAGGATCCGGTCATAACTTCTAGATCAGTGTTTCTCAACCTTGGAAGCTTGAAGATGGGCGGACTTCAACTCCCAGAATCCCCCAGCCAGCGCTGCTGGCTGGGGGATTCTGGGAGTTGAAGTCCACCCATCTTCAAGCTACCAAGATTGAGAAACACTGTTCTAGATGGACGTAGAGCGGTTCTCCCTGTGTCTTTTAGATTAACAGAATCTTTTTTGAATTATCTACAGTAGGGGCCAAAATTGTGGAAACCTTTTGGGAAAAGTGTATTTTCTAAAACTAGCTAATAACACCACTTTTTTTTTGGAGTAGTACCATAAAATTATATATCAGTGGAAAGATAATTTAATCAAGAATGTAATGCAATAACTTTTAGGAAGAATTTGCTATTAGAATAGCAGTTACAGGATAAAGAAGAAAAGTGAAACACATTGAAAAAATGAGATATACCAAAATTATCCCCATTTTTATTTTTTTTATTTTACTTTAGATTTATATACCGCCCTTCTCCCTAGGGACTCAGGGCAGTGTACAGCCAAGTAAAAACACATAAATACATAATACATAATACATAGATTATGTCATGTCAGTGAATCCTTAGTTGGGTAACCTTTAGCATGAATGACGGCCTTACAACGTCTTCCCATGGAGTGAACCAAGTCTTTTAGTTCTGCAACTGTTATCATGTGAAACCAAGATTGAATGATGGCTTCTATTAACTGGGTTTTATTGCTGGGTCGCTTCTGATTAACAAATTTCGCTATAGATTTTCAATGGAGTTAAGATCTGGGCTATTCCCAGGCCATTCCAGCAGTGGAATAGGATTATCTTCAAACTCCAACAAAAAAGTGGTGTTATTTTTTTTTTTTTTAATTTGATTTATATGCCGCCCTTCTCCGGAGACTCAGGGCGGCTTACAATGCGCTAAGCAATAGCCTTTATACTTTTGTACATTTATACAAAGTCAGCTTATTGCCCCCACAAACTGGGTCCTCAATTTACCTACCTTAGAAAGGATGGAAGGCTGTGTCAACCTTGAGCCTGGCGAGATTCGAACCTGCCGTAATTGCAGGCAGCTGGTCTTAATAACAGGTTGCTTTAGACCACTGTACTACCACGGCTCCTATTTAGCCATCAAACCTCAAAAATACACTTTTCCCAAAAGGTTTCCACAATTTTGGCCACTGCTGTAAACTGCTGTGAGATTAAAAGACGGATGCATGGCAACCAATGAATAAACCAAGAATCTCAGTTTCTTAAAACCCGGGTTGAGCTCGCATCGACCTACCTGGGAGACCAGGATGCTTTCGTCGTGCAGATGGATCAACAGCGGCACTAAGCTCTGGATGGCGATGCTTTTCATTTGATCCTTGCATCTCCTTTTGACGAGGTCAAACAGGGAGGAGAAGGTGGACACGGCGGCTAATCTCACTTTGTTGGAAGCCTGTAGAAGCGGGTTACGTCAATACAGGCAGTCCTCGATTTACGACCGCAACGAGCCTAAAATTTATGTTACTAAGTGAGACAGTTGCTAAAAAAAAGTGGAGTTTCCCATTTTACAACCTTTCTTGCCACGGTTGTTAAGTGAACCACTGCACTTATATTCGTAAGACAGTCGTTAAGTGAATCTGGCTTCCCCACGGACTTCGCTCGTCAGGAGGTCGCAAGAGAGGATCACGGGACCCCCGCAATCGTCATAGATATGAGTCAGTGGCCAAGTGTCTGAATCACGTGACTGTGGGGAATGCTGCAACAGCCGTAAGGGTGCAAAAAAAGTTATAAGTCACTATTTTCAGCGATGCTGAACGGTCGCTAAATGAACTGTTGTAAGTCGAGGACTACCTGTATTAATCTTACAACCGCTCGGTGATTCCCGCAAATGGAGAACTATTGAAAAACCGAAGATATCTACAAATCTAGAATCAGATTCAAATGCAATTCAGATATTTTGGAGGAAAACCATGTAGGCCTCCAGTTATGACCGCAATTTGGGACTGGAACTTCAATGGCTTAAGCAACGTGGTTGTTAAGTGAGCCACGCCGGATTTTACAGCTTTTGCCATGGTTGTTAAGCGAATCACTGCAATTGTTAAGCGAATCACACGGTTGTTAAGTGAACTGTGCAGTTGTTAAGTGAACCTCGCTTCCCCTGTTGATTTTGCTTGTCGGAAGACAGCTGGGATGGTCGCAACTACGAGACGCTGCAACCGTCATAAATCCATGCCAGTTGCCAATCTTCTGAATGTCATTCATGTGACTATGGGGATGCTGCAACGGTCACAGCGTGTTTCTCAGAAAATAAGACCCAGTCTTATTTTCTTTTCGACTTGAAAATAAGCACTTGGGTTAATTTTCATGGCGGTGTTACTTTTTTTGAGGTGCAGCCGGCTAGATTTGGTGAGCTGGACCATCACCTCCATTCCGAACCTTCCGCATTAGGAATGGAGGCTTTTTGGCAAACGGGAGGAAAATGGGGAGGGGGATTTTCCTGTCTGCCATCCTTCCCTCAGGCTGTGCTGAGCTTGAGGAATGGATGACAGCAGTGGTGGGATTCAGCCGGTTCGGGCCGGTAGTTAAATTGCTGGCTGACCCCTCCCTGCTCCTTCCAGGAGTCCCCACGCGCCCCATTTTCACTCCCAGGAGGCTGCAGAGAGGCCTACTAGGCCCAAAATGGGGCACAGAAGGGTGCGGCACAGCCCCCTCCCCTCCCCGTGGCCCGTTTTTGCTCCCAGGAGGCTGCAGGGAGGCCTACTACAGGGGTGGGTTCTAAATTTTTTTACTACCAGTTCTGTGGGTGTGGCTTATTTTGTGGGCGTGGCTTGTGGGGGGTTTAATGTGACTGGGTGGGCGTGGCCAAGTTTTTTTTTTTTTTAACTTTTAAAAGCATTTTTTCTACAACCTTAAGAGGTTGCAGAAAAAAATGCTTTTAGAAGCCTCTGACGATCAGGCAAGTCAGCTGGGATCGTCAGAGGCTTTTAAAGGTTGTAGAAAAAATGCTTTTAAAAGTCTATGAGATCCCAGCTGAGCCGCGCGATCATCAGAGGCTTTTTTTTAACTTTTAAAACCATTTTTTCAGCCGAAGAGGTTGTAGAAAAAAATGTTTTTAAAAGTAAAAAAAAAAAAAGCTTCTGATGAGGTGGGCGGGGTAAGCGAGTGGCGACCGGGCCGGGGACCCGGTTCGGGGATGTGGCCAGCCAATGTTATTATCGGTTCTCCGAACTACTAAAAATTTTTACTACCGGTTCTTGCGAACCGGTGCGAACCGGGAGCAACCCACCACTGGCCTACTAGGCCCAAAAAGGGGCACAGAGGGAGGAGGGCAGTGTATTCCCCTCACGACCTGTTTTGGCTCCCAGGGGGGTGGCAGGAGGCAGAGTGCTGCCCGTCACACCCCCTGGCCACGCCCACTATGGCCACGCCCACCCAACCAGCCATTAGGGCAGAGAACCGGTTGTTAAAATTATTTGAATCCCACCGCTGGATGATAGGCAGGAAAATCCCCCTCCCCATTTTCCTCCCGCGAGCCTCACAAAAAGAGGGAAAAAGCAAAGGAGCTGTCCACGGAGCTGCCAGCTTCGGGAAAGCGGCCCAACCAGCAGAAGCGCTGCGCCCAAAAAGAGAAGGGCAAAAGCGGTATTTGCGCTGCCCCAAGGGGCCAGCGGGCTGCAGCTGCAACCGGACAGTTGCCCCCATCCCCTCCACCCAGGCTGCCAATCGTGCTGGCCATGCCCATCCCCCTGGGATTATTTTCGGGGTAGGGATAATATTAGGCCCACCCCCTAAAAAAATTAGGGTTGAGCTTATTATTGGGGTGGGTCGTGTTTTCGGAGGAAGACGATAGGTGTGAGGACTGCTTGTAAGTCCATTTTGTTCAGGGCCATAGTAACTTTTAACCCTTGCTAAACAAATTGTTGTAAGTTAAGTATTCCCACGGTAGCCAAAAATCACCCCCAGTTCTGTTTTCCAGATGGTGGAAGTTGGAGGCATATTTTGCTACCTACTTTTGGGAGAGATTTGAGTGCTTCCTAGCAGCTCCGAAAGGATCAAGTGACAAGGCACTTGTTGAGTTTTGTCCCATTTTACGACCTTTTTTTTTTGCCACAGTCGTTAAGCGGATCATTTGTTGTTGTTAAACGAATCATGTCGTGGTTACCCGAATTTGGCTTCCCCATTAACTTTGTTTGTGGAAAGTCACGCAACCCCAGGAAAACTGTCGTAAGGATGAGTCAGTTGCCGAGCATTTGAATTTTGACCGCGTGATCATGGGGACCCTGCAATGGTCGTAAGTGTGAAAAACGGTCATAAGTCCATTTTTTGTTCAGTAACATAACTTCGGAAAGTCACCAAATGAATGGTTGTAATCCCTGTAACTCAGAAAGTCCCAATACTGTTCAAAGTGCTAAGCTTTTGCAAGACCTTTGATCTACAATTTGGCAGGATTGCTGAGGTCCATAAAAATGTTTTTTTATTTTTTCCCCCGACTGAAACGATGGTTAATACCTTTGTGTTAAACTTTAACAACTTCAAGTGCAAGTCAACCGTTGCGAAGGTCATTTTTTAAAAAAAAAAGCATCTTGGATTTTATAAATTATAGCAAGATACGCCAAGGCTTCGACCCGATTTATTTAATTTAGGTTTAAAGGAAACAAACCCCAAACTTACCATTTCCCAGCATAGTTTCCAATACAGATAGGCCTCGACTTACAACGGTTTGTTTAGTGGCTGTTCAAAGTTACAATGGCACTGAAAAGTAATTTATGGCCTTTTTTCACTGTTACGACCTTTGCAACGTCCCCGTCATCCTACCATCAAAATCCAGATGTTTGGCAACTGCTTCATATTTATGACCGAGGTCCACTTCTCACCAGCAAAATCAAGGGGAAAGCCATGATTCAATTAGTAACTGCCCCTGGAGCTCCGGGTGGCCCCCGACCTCCGCTCTTTCCGTCGCGACCGTCGCAACCTGAAAACGTGGCTGTTTTGTATGGCGGGCCTGGACTGATGGGGTTTTAATTTTTAATTTTTAGTCTTAATTGCACTTTTAACTGTTAAATTATGATATTTGGATTTAATTTCCTTTTTTAACTTTTTCATTAGATGTTTTTTTACTGTTGTGAGCCGCCCTGAGTCCAGCTGGAGATAGGGCGGCATATAAATCTCAATAATAATAATAACAACAACAATAACAATAACAACAACAACAACAACAACAACAACAACAACAACAACAACTGTGGCAAAAAAAGATCGTAAAATGGGGCAAAACTCCCTTAAGAAATGTCTCACTTTAACAACAGAAATTTTGGGCTCATTTGGGATTTTAAATTGGGGCGGCCGTTTAATTTAATTTATTTTTAATTATTTTAACTTAAAATAACTATGTTATTTTAATTCTCGGCTGTTCAACGCCCTGAGTCCCTTCGGGGAGAAGGGCGGGATATAAATTTAATTAATTAATTAATTAATTAATTAATTAATTTGTGGTCGTAAATCGAGGACTACGTGTACGTGGTGTGGATGTGACTTCTCGGTTTCTATTGGACCTGGGTAAACTGTGGCCTAGAGGTGGAGCTCTTGCCTCACAATCAGGAGGTTGTGAGTTCGATCCTAGGTAGATGTAGGGTCTCTTGCTTGGGCAAAGGGGGGTTGGACTAGATGACCTGCAAGGTCCCTTCTAACTCTGTTAATTCACCAAATGGTCCATTTGAGGAGAAGGAGGCATTTGAAGCCCCAGCATCATTTAGAATTAAGAGAGTTGGGAGGGACCTTGGAGGTCTTCTAGTCCAACCCTCTGCTTAGGCAGGAAACATCAAAAGGACCGTCCTGAGAAAAAACAGGAATCCCGACCACAATACCAAGGATTTCCATTTTCCCCCTTTCCCCCCCCTAAATCCTGCACCCTTTGGTAGGTGGAGATGTCCAGTCGTCGGCCCAACTTACGTCGTCGAAAAGAGGGAGTATTCTAATAGCCACGTCCAAAGCCACCAAGTTTGCTTCTTCCTGGGTCAAATTCTTCAGGAGGCACGGAAGAAGTTTGAGGGTCTTCACGTTGATTTTTCGATTCACGTCTTTTAACCTGGACAAGATGTCTGGCAAGATGGGTACCAGTTTTATCACCTGGAGGATGGAAAAGGATCAGTCAGGAATCCGTCCGCTAAGGAGGAGGGTCAAGGGAAAAATACAAGAGTGCAGGTCAATGGTGAAATGCGATTTTTTTTTACTACCGGTTCTGTGGGCGTGGCTTGGTGGGCGTGGTGTGGCTTGGTGGGCGTGGCAGGGGAAGGATACTGCAAAATCTCCATTCCCTTAGGTGGACCCCCTAACCAGAGGTGAAATCCAGCAGGTTCTGGAGAACTGGTAGCGGAAATTTTGAGCAGTTCGGAGAACCGGGAAATACCACCTCTGGCTGCCCCCTAGAGTGGGGTGGGAATGGAGATTTTGCAGTCTCCTTCCCTTGCCACGCCCACCAAGCCACACCATGCCCACCAAGCCACGCCTACAGAACCGGTAGTAAAAAAAAAATGAATTTCACCATTGCCCCTAACTTATTTTATTTGGGCTCAGAAATTAGGAAAATTTAGGTTTGTTTTGGGATGAGAAATCTCTAGAATGTAATCAAACAACCATCCTTGAAAGTCTGTAGAGATTCTCAGTCATCCAAGTCATGGTTGTCTCTAAAAGTGCTTTTTTTCAGGAGGCAACTGGACTTTCTGGTTTTTTCTTTGGAAGATGTTTCGCTTCTCCTCCAAGAAGTTTCTTCAGCTCTGACCGGATGGTGGGGGAATGGAAGGATTTATATTCCTTGCAGACAGCTGGTCATTTGCATCCTTTTAAGAGGGGTCGTTGAAGCACTTGGAGCAGTGATGGGATTCAAATAATTTAACAACCAGTTCTCTGCCCTAATGACCAGCTGGGTAGGCATGGCTCGTTGGTCATGTGACCATGTGGGCGTGGCTAACTCAACATCACTCACGCGGATGGGCGCTTCACCTTAGCTGTTACAATGTAATAAGGGTTACCCAGAGGCAGTTTCTGTAAGCAGGACAATAAAGATTAGGCTAGAAACACCACCAGAATGTTTCCTTCCTGCCTTCCTTACAGGATTAGCCCTGTAAAGTGGAAAAAAACAAAAGGAGATTTCTTCCAACAACCAGTTCTCCAAACTGCTTAGAAAATTAACAACCGGTTATGGCGAATTGGTGCGAACCGGATGAATCCCACCACTGACTTGGAGGTTTATCTGTGTCCTCAGGAATAAGAAGCAAAATGTCTTCAAAACAGAAAAAGAAAAAAAAAGAAGGAAGTGCAGTTGCAAAGCATTTTTGGGACAACCATGACATGGATAACTGAGAGTCTCTATAGACTTTAAACTATACAATTTGGGATGAACATCCTTTGAATGGGTGGGAGTAGGAATGGATTTCCAGAGGAAAAATTGCAAACTACAGGAACCATTTGCAGTACTCAGGTGACCCTGAGGACACAGGTAAACCTCCAAGTGGCCTCAACGACCCTCTCAAAGGATGCAAATGACCAGCTTTGTCTGCAAGGAGTAGAAATCCTTCCGTTCCCCACCATTTAGTCAGAACTGAAGGAGCTTCTCGGATGAGAAGCGAAACATCTTCCAAGAAAAACTAGAAAATCCAGTTGCCTCCTGGAAAAGCACCTTTAGGGAAATTTATGTTTGTTTTGGGATGAAGAATCTCCAGAATGTAGACCAGGAAATCAAACAATCATCCTTGAAAAAGGCAGCAGCAAAACTTTTTGGTATTGTTGTTGAGAAAATAACACAACTGGGCCTATTTACTTGCTAGGAGTTGACCTTAACTGAAAGGAATTGGAGGGGTTCACACAAAATACAGGTAGTCCTCCACTTACAACAGTTCTCTTAGTGACCAGAGTTACGATGGCGCTGAAAAAAGTGACCTACGACCATTTTTCACACTTACGACCATTGCCGCATCCCCATGGTCACGTGATTTGCATTCAAATGCTTGACAACGCGCTCAAATTTATGACCGTCATAGCATCTTGGGGTCATTTGATCCTCTTTGACCAGCAAAGTCAACGGGGAAACCAGATTCACTTAACAACCGTGTTACTCATTTAACAACTGCAGTGATTCGCTTAACGAATGTGGCAAGAAAAGTCGTAAAAAGTGGGCAAAACTCGCTTATATTTCTCACTTAGCCACATCAACTTTGGGTTCAATTGTGATCGTATGTCGAGGACTACCTGTACCGAGCCCCTCAATGTTGGACGGACATGCAAGATTCATGTCCATCAAATGGTGTATGTTGAGTACTTGTCGTTACCAACTCACAAAATTTCAAAGAAACAAGAGACTTTTTGGGAAAGAATAGTGAATTGAAGATGGCTTTGCAAAAGATTGGAGCATAGAACAAGGAACTGGGAGAAAACCCAACTCCTCAGAACCTCTCTGGATAAGGAGAGGATGGGAGATTGCCCACAAGTGCTCCGGACAGCTGTTCCTCATAAGCCGACCCTGGGACAGCATTTTCCACCGGTTTGAGTGCTGAGAAATGATGGGATCAACCCTCTTTGTTCACAAACGCAGCAAAGTCTTTCAAACTTTGCAAACCTCACTTTCTGAAATTGCCTATGAACCATCCTAAAGCTATTAGAGACCTTCAGAACGGCAAGTTTGGAAAAAAAAAACTTTGTGGGGTGAGTTCATCTTCAACTTTGAATAAAAGAATAATTAATTGCAAGCTTAAGCACTCGAAAGAATTTGCCATAAGCAGCAAAAGGCAAAATAAGATTTTGATCTAAGAAAGTTATACGCAAATTTGGAATACTATTGCTGTGTGGTTTTGGAATTAACTACAGGTTGTCCTTGATTTATAACCATTCATTTAATGACTGTTCAAAGTTACAATGGGCACTGAAAAAAGTGACTTAGGACCAGTTTTCACACTTACAAACTTTGGAGCATCCTCATGGCATTCAGATGCCTGGCAACTGATTCATATTTATGACCATAGCTGTGTCCCGGGGTCATGTGATTACCTTTTGAGACTTTCTGACAAGCAAAGTCAATGGGGAAGCCAGATTCACTTAACAACCATGTTACTAACTTAAAAACTGCAGTGATTAACTTAACAACTGTGGCACGAAAGGTTGTAAAATATGGTCAAAACAACTTCTGGCTTATCAACATAAATTTTGGGCTCACTTGTGGTCGTAAAGTCAAGGACTACCTGTATTGTTCCTCAGCCAAGGTAAAGCAGACAGCTTGCACCATTAAACATAGATTCTGGGAACTGTTAAGGAGGAGCCATCTTCACCCTCATTCTCATACACAAACTGTCTAAACCAGGATGTCAGCACTCCAAACTACATTCGTTCCAGTCAGAAACCTGACACAGGGGTGTCAAATACAAGGCCGGCGTACCAGATCTGGCCCATGATGTGGTTGGATCCAGCCCACAATGTGGTCGGATCTGGCCCGCGATGTGGTCAGATCCGGCACACGGGGCCGTCCTGGAAAATGTAAGGGGCTGGCCCACGACGCTTCAGCCCAGTCCACCCAATGTGTACAGGAAATGTGCCAGTAGTTTGGGGAGTGGTGTCAAGCTGGCCACGCCCACCCATTCGGCCATGCCCCAAGTTGGCCACGCCCAGTTAGTGGCATCAAGCTGGCCATGCCCACTCCGTTGGCCACACCCACCCAGTTGGCCCTGCCCCACCGGCCCTCTGAGGTCGACCACAGCCCTGATGTGGCCCTCAATTAAATTGAGTTTGACACCTCTGGTCTAGACTGTGCTGATGTCTTGATCCTCCAGAGTGCAGCCCCTCCCTCCTGGGAATCCAGACCCCATTCCACCACACCTTCTCTGGATGAGTGCTAAGGATGAGCAGACCATCCATGGCCAGAGATCGGAGCTGGAACTGGTTTGCGTTCAACTGCTTGCGGAGATACTGGATGAGGACTTCTTCTAGATCCACATCGAAGGTCTTCTTCTGAAGAAGCTGGAATAGGAAAAGCAAAGATGACCCTGCCTGTCTTCCCAAGGTTTTGAAGGCAACCTCAAGGAGGCAGGATCAAAACCCTGCATCGACCTTTCCAAAGCTTGAACAGAATAACAGCATTGGAAGGGACCTTGGAGGTCTTCTAGTCCAACCTTCTGCTCAAGCAGGAGACTCTATACCATTTTGGCCTTTGCCAGAACTGTCACCTCACGCCTGAGCTTCGCAATCGTTCTGTGCCAGTTTGCCATGGACCCTAGGGGGAGGGTGAATCTTGGGGGAAAGTGGAACTAGCGGAAAGAAGATGCCTCTTGGAGACTAGTCTTCAAGGTCGTTTCAACGGAAGAAGAAAGCAGCTGCAAAATGGCTTACATTTGGAATGGGTCTCTTTCTTGCAGACTCCAAAATTAACAACAGAGAAACCACAGGGAGATGCACTGGTGGGCTGTTCCAGGTTCGCCCCGGTTTGGGCGAATCGGTAGTGGCGGTGGTGGGAGGCTCCGCCCACCGACCCAGACGTCATCAAGAACACTCTGCATGATGCATGGCCAGCGTCGCGGTGGTACGATGGGTTCTTTGAGGGTTCTCAAAGACCCGCCGATATCTCCGCTGTCTGAGGGTCCCCAGGGACCTAAGTCATCCTGTAGGGATGACAAACAAGAGGAGCACGTACCAGTCAGTACAGGGAGTCCACAAACTCCCTGGTAGGACTGGAAGAAGCTCCTCAATTCGGACAGCGCAGAAAGCGACGTAGATGTCGCTAGGAAGCTGGGGAGGCTACAACAAAAGAGGATGAAGAAAGACTGCATGTGACATGGAGGTGAGAGTGATTTGATTTTTTTTTTACTGAGAGTCTCTCTTCAAATCCACCTGCATGTGCAGAAGTGCTGCGCACTCACGAAGCAAGTGAGTGCACCCGCGCACTACCAACAGCGAACTGGTAGCGCTGGGATTTGAATCCCACTACTCGGTAGATGCCATATATGTAGGAAATCCCTTGCCAAGGAGCATCAACTGGAATCAACGTGCTGAAAACATGTAAGTGATGTCATCAGTCCCCCACTTCAATTGTTCCCATCTCTGAAATAATGGAGGATGTAGGGAGATGTCAAAAGAACAATGGGGGGAACCAGCTCAGGGAAGTGTCTGTAAGGGAAAAGTGATACCTAGGCACATGAACCTCACTTCTGGCTTTGCTTTACTGTACAGGTAGTCCTCAACTTACAACAGTTCGTTTAGTGACCGTTCAAAATTACGAAGGCGCTGCATAAAATGACATGACTGTTTTTCACCCTTGGGGCGTCCCCGACGGTCATGTGATTTGCATTCGGACGCTTCACAACTGACTCGCATTTATGACGCCAACAGTGTCCCAGATTCACGTGGGCCCCGGTAGTGACCTTCTGACAATGGGGAAACCGGATTCACTTAATAGCCATGTTACTAATTGAACTGCAGGGATTCACTTAACAAAGGTGGCAAGAAAACTCGTAAAATCGGGCACAATTTAAGAGATTTCTCACTTAACCGTGTCAATTTTGGGCTCAGTTGTGGTACTCAGTTGTACTTCACTTGAAGTACAGTGGAGTCAAGGATCTTTCTTTCTTAAAGGTTCAAATTGAGGCAGGACTGACATTAAGGCAGAACTGAGCTTTTTTTCCGGCCAAACACAAAGCTTACCTCCACCAAAAACGTCATCGCGATTACATGCACGTTGTTTTCCTTGCTGTCCAAAATTGTCATCAGATAAGGGAGCATGTGTTCACACCCCTCATTTCGTACGAGAGCTCTGTTGTAGGGAAAGAGAAATATGGACTACTAGGAAATGGAGCATCCAGAGGGGAGCACAGGGCTAGGCATCACACATAAAGATCAGACAGAACTTCAATCCTACCACCATAACTACAGGTAGTGCTTGACCTACCACTGTTCAGAGTTTCAACGGCACTGAAAAAAATGACTTAGGACCATTTTTCACACTTATGACGATTGCAGCATCATGGTCAAAATTCAGAAATTTGCCAACGAGCTCGTATTTATGATGGTTGCAGTGTCCTTGGGTCATATTATCCCGTTTTCATATAATCATATAATCTCCTTATAAGCAAAGTCAACTGGGAAGCCAGGTTCACTTAACAACTGTGTCACTCACTTAACAACTTGCTCCATGTAGAGGTAGGTCAAAGTTCGTAGTGCCTGCTAAGAGCAGCACACTGCCTTAGCTCATGCTCTGTGAATCTTGCTTGCTTACCTCATTTTGGCTCGGATCTGGATTATCTCATCTCACTTTCAGAGAGGATGGCATCTTGAGAGGGGGTGAATAGTTTTCTACCAATTAGGATACTGTTGCTGCCCTTCCTTTTTATCTGCCTGTGTAAAACTGTATAAAAAATAAAGCTCTCTGGGAGAGCGAGAGAGACATCTTGGAACAGAGCAAAAGCCTGGACCTCTGATTTACAACAGCTCCATTTTACAACTTTCCTTGCCACAGTTGTTAAGTGAATCACTGCAGTTGTTAACTTAGTAGCACGGTTGTTAAGTGAATCTGGCTTCCCCATTGACTTGGCTTGCCAGAAGGTCACAAAATGGGGATCACGTGACCCCGGGGCACTGCAACCGTCATAAATAAGGGTCCGTTGCCAAGCATCAGAATTTTGATCAGGTGACCATGGGGATGCTGCAAGGGTCATTAAGTGTGAGAAACGGTCATAAGGAGGAGCCTTGGTAGTACAGTGGTTTAATGCACCCTGTTATTAACACAGCTGCCTGCAATTTCTGTAGGTTCGAATCTTACCAGGCTCAAGGTTGACTCAGCCTTCCATCCTTTCAAAGGTAGGTAAAATGAGGACCCAGTTTGTGGGGGCAATAAGCTGACTTTGTATAAAATATACAAAAGGATGAAGGCTATTGCTTAACGCATTGTAAGCCCCCCTGAGTCTCCGGAGAAGGGCGGCATATAAATCAAATTTAAAAAAATAAAAAAAATAAATAAAAAATAAGTCACTTTTTTCAGTGATGTTGTAATTGCAAACGGTCACTAAATGAACTAAATTATCCGTAGCGCGAGATCGGAAGATTAGACTCCGAACTTAGAATAATTTCATTGTCACTACGAATGTACACTAATCGGCATACATTAAAATGAAATTTCATTGCACAACAGCTCTCAAAGGGTCTCCACCTCCAACACACACTACATAAACATGGCAAAATAAATAAATAAATAAGTAACTATAAAATTATCCATATAACCACATATATGACACTGAGAAACAACGCAGTCTAGTTCAGATGTATACATTTACATGGTGAGAGAAACGAATCTTGCCAGTTTACCAGACGAATGGCCTAGGGAACAAAGCTGTTCCAGAATCTGGTAGTCCTGCTAGAAATACTTTGAAACCCCCTCCCAGAGGGGAGCGACAGAAACAGACCGTGAGGTGTGTATGTGGGGCCTCTAACGATGCTTTGAACTCTAAGCGTATAGCGCTTATAAGCAGCATCCTGAACAAAAGGAAGCGAGCTTCCTATAATCTTCTCCACTGTCCTCACCACTCTCTGTATGGACTTTCTATTGAGGCACTGCAGCTGCCAAACCAAATAAGGATGCAGTTTGTTAAAATGCTCTCCATCATGCCTCTGTAGAATGTGGCCAGGACAGAAGGAGAAAGATGTGCTCTCCTCATCCCATGTAGGAAATGCAGGCACTGGTTTGCATGCTTCCCTATGGATGACATGTGGAGAGACCAGTTCAGATTGGTTATTAGTTATCTGCACCCCCAGATACTTAATACTGCTGACCACCTCTACAGCTGCATCCATGATACTGAGTGAAGTAGGACCATGCCGGTTGTGGCATGTGGAGTATCAGCACTTCAAGCTGCATTTACTCTAGTGCTGACATAAGAAGGAGAAGCGGAGGCGTCTGGAAAGGGACGTTTGACTTTTCACCTACTTATTTTCCCTGGAGATAATATCCCCTAGGAGATGGGATGGGAGGGAGGAAATTCCTTTGAGCTGGAGCAGTAGATTAGGGGTAGAGTGACTTGGAAGATGGCCAATGAGTGCAGGGGAGTGGGGAACGGAAAGGGAGGGTTTTGGGTCTGGAAGTCAGTGTTGGCTGCGATGGGAGTCGGAATTAGAATGTCATGCTTAATAAATTGGAGTTTTTCTTCAAAGACTTTGTTTGAAATGCAATTTATTTGAGACGACCTCGAAACCTGACATGGAGAGAATCCCAGAGAATCATGGATAATATCATCATTATTAGGAATAAAACTCTGGAGGCTTACTTGGCAAAGACCGTGAGTCCTTTCTGGTGGGTGGCCAGGTGACATAGGAGCTCGGATCCTCTCCGCTTATTCATAATCAGGGCTTGGTCTCCGCTGCTCACACGTCGGATGAGGGTCTGTAAGGTTGTTAGAGCTGCCCTACAAGTATAAGAACCCCGGTCAGATATTCCTTCTGCACCCCTTAAAGTCCCTTTATTTCAGGGGTGAAATGCTACCGGTTCGGTCCGGTTCGCACGAACCGGTAGTAAAAAATGTAAAAAAAAAAAAAAAGTTCTGACGATCAGCTGAGTGACGCGCGATCGTCGGAACTTTTTAAAAACCTTTTTAGCATTTTTTTACTACCAGTTCTCCGGAAGTTGGACATCATCCTGGCTTGAACCAGGTGGCGAGACAAAGGCCGTTTAGAACAGTGTTTTTCAACTTTAAGATATGTGGATGTCAACTCCCAGAATTCCTCAGCCTGCATGCGTGGACTTCAACTCCCAGAATTCCTCAGCCTGCATACGAGGACTTCAACTCCCAGAATTCCTCAGCCTGCATGCGTGGACTTCAACTCCCAGAATTCCTCAGCCTGCATGCGTGGACTTCAACTCCCAGAATTCCTCAGCCTGCATACGAGGACTTCAACTCCCAGAATTCCTCAGCCTGCATGCGTGGACTTCAACTCCCAGAATTCCTCAGCCTGCATGCGTGGACTTCAACTCCCAGAATTCCTCAGCCTGCATACGAGGACTTCAACTCCCAGAATTCCTCAGCCTGCATACGAGGACTTCAACTCCCAGAATTCCTCAGCCTGCATGCGTGGACTTCAACTCCCAGAATTCCTCAGCCTGCATGCGTGGACTTCAACTCCCAGAATTCCTCAGCCTGCATACGAGGACTTCAACTCCCAGAATTCCTCAGCCTGCATGCGTGGACTTCAATTTCTAAATCACTATTCGTCAACCCTAGCACTTTTAAGAGGCGTACATGCTGGCTGAGGAACTCTGGGAGTTGAAGTCCACACCTCTTAAAGGTACTGAGGCTGAGAACCATTGATTTAAAAATTGATTCCATTTATTCCGTTTACTCTGTTTAATTCCCTGTCCACCCTCTTTTTCCTAAAGTCCAGCAAACTGACTTATTCGTTTTAACCAATGTATTAATTCCATAATGTAAAATGTAAACTAATCTTCCTTCTCCCACCCCTTTTACAAAACTTCAAACTTGGTCTGAAAGAGTTTCAAAGTTTCATCCAGGCACAGGAAAGTCCCAAAGTCCGACGGCTTTTAAATATGAGTTAAAACATTAACAATTATTTGTGCTGTTTGTTTCTGGTATATTGCCTTAATAGATTGTATGAAATGCTCTCCCAACTGCATCTTTTGTGCTACTTTCACTAAAAACTGCCAATTCAATCGATCAAACGCTTTCTCTGCATCCAAAAACATACGCACTGCAGGGACTTTGTTGTTCTTCCCCAAATACTCCAGTATATTAACAATTTGTCTTACATTACTTTTCATTTGTCTCCCTTGTACAAATCCAGTTTGATCTTTATGAATCACTTGTTGCATAACTGACATTAGTCTATTGGCCAAAATTTTTGCAAAGATCTTATAATCTATATTAAGCAATGATATGGGTCTGTAATTTTTGGGTTGACTATGATCTTGATCTTCTTTCGGAATCAGGGAATTAAAAGCTGTTCTCCAGGATGGTGGCACCTCTCCTCCCCATTGTATTTTAGCAAATAACTCCTTAAGAGGTTCTACCATTTCTAATTGAAAATTTTTATAATACACTGCTGTCAAACCATCTGTGCCAGGAGCCTTTCCCCTTTTTAATTGTTTAATTGCCAAAAGAATTTCCTCAGTGGTTATTAATACATTCACTCTTTCCCTTTGTTCATCAGTAATTGCAAAAATATTTTCCTTCTGCAAATATCTCTCTATATCGTTACCTTGTATATTATCACCAGCATATAACCTCGTATAAAAATCTAGAAATGCTTTTTTAATCATATTCTGTTGATATACCTCTTTACCTTTATACTCTTATTTTTTTCTATTGCTGCTGGCTGGGGGATTCTGGGAGTTGAAGTCCACCCATCTTCAAGCTACCAAGGTTGAGAAACATTGAATTAAAAGGTCCCCCGTCCCGTGTCCATACGTCCCCCGCCCCCATGCTGCAAATTTCCTTTTGCAAAAAAAAAAAGAAGAACAGAGCACCTCAAAGGCACAGGAGGGGTGGGGGTTTTCTCCTGCATGGAAGTCCTCCAATAGAAATCAATCTCATGAGGTTTGATGTGCACCGTGTAGGAGATCTGGCAGAGCAGGGCGATGCAGAGAGTGGGGTACATCGCTTTGAGGGCCTCTTTGCAAGCAGGGGAGGTGTGCCTCAAGATCTCTTGAAGAGCAGCTGTGGCCTGGAAGGAAGAGAAGAGAGAAGCCCAGCTGGAGTTTCACACGGTGGCACCTCAACAGGCGTAGCTCGTAGGGAAGGAAGAAACACCCCCCCCCCCAACAAAGAACCAGATGGTACCCTCAGAAAAGGATCTTTGCAGCTCAGGGCTGAAGTGGGGGGGGGGGCTTTGTGATCTCTGCGCTTGGTGGTTTGCTTAGAGATGTTTTATGACCCAACTAGGGAGGTAACATTATCAGGGCTAGAAGGCAGGAGGAGGAGGAGGAGGAGGAGAAGAAGAGGAGGAGGAGGAGGAGGAGGAAGAGGAACAGGAGAAGCAGAAGGAGGAGGAGGAGGAGGAGGAGGAGGAGAAGAAGAAGAAGAAGAAGAAGAAGAAGAAGAAGAAGAAGAAGAAGAAAAGAAGAAGAAGAAGAAGAAGAGAGGAGGAGGAGGAGGAGGAGGAGGAGGGAGGAGGAGGAAGAAGAAGAAGAAGAAGAAGAAGAAGAAGAAGAAGAGAAGAAGAAGAAGAAGAGGAGGAGGAGGAGGAGGAGGAGGAGGAGGGAGGAGGAGGAAGGAGAAGAAGAAGAAGAAGAAGAAGAAGAAGAAGAAGAAGAAGAAGAAGAAGAGGAGGAGGAGGAGGAGGAGGAGGAGGAGGAGGAGGAGAAGAAGAAGAAGGGAGGAGGAGGAAAAGAAAGAGGAAGAGGAAGAAGAAGAAGAAGAAGAAGAAGAAGGGAGGAGGAGGAGGAAAAGAAAGAGGAAGAGGAAGAAGAAGAGGAGGAGGAGGAGAAGGAGGAGGAGAAGGAGAAGAAGGAGGAGGAGGAGGAGGAGAAGAAGAAGAAAGGAAAAGGAAGAGGAAGAGGAGGAGGAAAAGAAGAAGAAGAAAGGAGGAGGAGGAAAAGGAAGAGGAAGAGGAGGAGGAAAAGGAGGCGAAGAAGAAGAAGAAGAAAGAAGAAGAAGAAGAAGAAAGGAGCAGGAGGAGGAAAGGAAGAAGAAGAAGAAGAAGAAGAAGAAGAAGAAGAAGAAGAAGAAGAAGAAGAAGAAGAAGAAGAAGAAGAAGAAGAAGAAGGGAGGAGGAGGAAAAGAAAGAGGAAGAGGAAGAAGAAGGAGAAGAAGAAGGGAGGAGGAGGAGGAGGAGGAAAAGAAAGAGGAAGAGGAGGAAGAAGAAGAGGAGGAGGAGAAGGAGGAGGAGAAGGAGAAGAAGGAGGAGGAGGAGGAGGAGAAGAAGAAGAAGAAGAAAGGAAAAGGAAGAGGAAGAGGAGGAGGAAAAGAAGAAGAAGAAGGGAGGAGGAAAAGGAAGAGGAAGAAGAAAAGAAGAAGGAGGAGGAGGAGGAGGAGGAGGAGCAGCAGCAGCAGCAGCAGCAGCAGCAGCAGCAGCAGCAGCAACGTCGGGGGTGTTTTCTTGCAGACATCTCATGACCCAACTAGGCAACGTCATCAGTGCTCAGTATCTGCATCCGTAGCACTAATGATGTTCTCCAGTTGGGTCATGAAATGTCTGCCAGAAAACAACCCAGCTCAGTGAGCACCAAGAACCAGATGGGAAAAAACAATCCTCAGTCCTTTTTTTCATCGCCGTTTGTAACCTTGAACAGTCACTAAAAGAACTGTTGTACGTCAAGGACTATCTGTATTGACCGTTAAAGAGTGCAGTGAGGCAAAAATAAATCTTTGCCTGCCCCTGTGCCCAGTGCAAGAGGACCAAAGTCTTGCTAACTTGATGCCTGGCAATTTCATAAGAGACAGATTAATTTCATTAAGAGACCGAGTTGGAAGGGACCTTGGCGGTCATCTAGTCCAACCCCCAGCCCAAGCAGGAGACCCTACACCATTTTTGACAGAAGGCAGTCCAGTCTCTTCTTGAAAGCCTCCAGGGATGAAGCTCCCACAACTTCTGAAGGCAACTTCTGTTCCACGGGTTGATTGTTCTCACGGTCAGGAAATTCCTCCTTATTTCCAGGTTGAATCTCTCCTTGTTCAGTTTCCATCCATTGTTCCTTGTCTGGCCTTCGGGTGCTTTGGAGAATAGCTTGACCCCCTTCCTCCTCTCTGGGGCAGCCCCTCAAATATTGGAAGATGCTCTCCTGTCTCCCCTGGTCCTTCTCTTCCCTAGACTAGCCAGGCCCAGTTCCTGCAACCGTTCATCATATGCTTTGGCCTCCAGTCCCCTCATCGTCCTGGTTGCTCTTCTCTGCACTTTTTCTAGTCTCAACCGCTTTTTTATAGTGTGGGGACCAAAACTGGATGCAGGACTCTAGGTGTGGCCTTACTAAGGCTTTATAGAGTGGTATTAGTACCTCCCTTGATCTTGATTTTATTCCTCTGTTAATGCAATTTAGGATTGCATTGGCTTTTTTGGCTGCTGCTGCACATGGCTGGCTCATATTTAGCTGGTTGTCCACTAAGACTCTGAGATCCCTCTCCCAGTTCCTGCTATTAAGCCTGATTTCCCCCAGTCTATATGTCTACTTTTGGTTTTTCTTGCCTAAGTGTAAGTTTTACTTTTCTCTACATTGAATTTCATTTTGTTAGATAGGGCTCAGGGTTCGAGTCTGTCAAGATCCATCTGGATCTTGAGCCTATCATCTAAGACTGTGATGGCGAGCCTATGGCACGCGTGCCACAGGTGGCATGTGAAGCCATATCGGTGGGCACACGAGTGTTGCCCTAGCTCAGCCACCTGATTTTCGGGCCTTCCGGGCCCACCAGCAAATGGGCTGTTTCCAGCCTCCGGGGGTTGTGGGGGGGTGCGAAAGGACATTTTCGCCCTCCCCAGGCTCCTAGAAAGGCTCTGGAGCCTGGGGAGCGCGAAAAACGGGCCCACCGTGCCATCGTGTGCCAAAAGCGTGGGGAGCGTGGGGGTGGGGTCATGCATGCATGGGCGGGGGCCATCCTGCATTGAATTATGGGTGTGGGCATGCACGCGCATGACCCCCGCGCGACCCCCGTTTTTGGCACGTGATGGCAAAAAGGTTACCCATCACTGATCTAAGGTGCATGGAAAATCTATACAAATGTTTTACAGGTAGCACTTATCTCTAGCAAGACTGGCAAAAATGTTTAGTAACTTGTCTACAAAATGCTGGAAATGCAATCAGTCTCCAGGGACATACTATCACATGTGGTGGAGGTGCAACAAAGCAAGAAAACACTGCCAGCTTAATATCATCTGCAAATTTGGTAAGTCCCCGTTCTAGACGTTTCTCTTAGAGCCATGGTGGACAAACGACAGGCAAGATGGAGGGAAGGACCAGAAGGAGCCCCCCCACCAGTCTTGCCGGACTTGATACATACAGCCAACGGAGTGACGGTGGGCTTTGTCCCAGGTTTATCCAGGCGGAAGGGCTGCTGTTGGATAGTGTCCTGCAGGACGCCGAGGATCTTGTAAGAGGTGCTGGAGAAGGACATCAGGGCATGCCACATAGCTGAGGCACTGCTGCAAATTGAGAAAAAAAAGGGGCTGTCAGATGGTGGGGGTCGTTGCAAACCTGGTGGGGGGCTTGGCATTCATGACGAGGTTTTAGTTCAAGGTTGCAAAACTGGATTCTTTTGTCAAAATCAATGTTTCTCCACCTTGGCTACGTGAAGGTGAGTGGACTTCAACTCCCACAATTCCAGGAGTTGAAGTCCATCCATCTTCAAATTGCCACCATGCTGGATAAGGAATTCTGGGAATTGAAGTTCATCCATCTTCAAATGACTGCCATGTTGACTGAGGAATTCTGGGAGTTGAAGTCTGTCCATCTTCAAATTGTCCTCATGTTGGATAAGCAATTCTGGGAGTTGAAGTCTGTGCATCTTCAAGTTGCCACCAGAGTGGCTGAGGAATTCCGGGAGTTGAAGTCCACCCATCTTCAAGTTGCCATCATGCTAGGTAAGGAATTCTGGGAATTGAAGTTCACCCATCTTCAAAAGCCTGCCATGTTGACTGATGAATTCTGGGAGTTGAAGTCCGTCCATCTTCAAGTTGCCACCATGCTGGCTGAGGAATTCTGGGAGTTGAAGTCCACCCATCTTCAAGTTGCTATCATGCTAGGTAAGGAATTCTGGGAATTGAAGTTCACCCATCTTCAAAAGGCTGCCATGTTGACTGAGGAATGCTGGGAGTTGAAGTCCACCCATCTCCAAGTTGCCATCATGCTAGATAAGGAATTCTGGGAATTGAAGTTCGTCCATCTTCAATTTGCCACCACGCTGGGTGAGGAATTCTGGGAGTTGAAGTCTGTCCATCTGGAAGTTGTCCTCATGTTGGGTGAGCAATTCTGGGAGTTGGAGTCTGTCTATCTTCAAGTTGCCGCCATGCTGGTTGAGGAATGCTGGGAGTTGAAGTCTGTCCATCTTCAAGTTGCCGCCATGCTGAAGGAGGAATTCTGGGAGTTGAAGTCTGCATCTTCAAGTTGCCGCCATGTTGGGTGAGCAATTCTAGGAGTTGGAGTCCATCCATCTTCAAGTGGCCAAGGTAGAGAAACAATGCCTTAAATCTTTAACCTCACCGAAATGTTCTCGACAAGCCATCGGAGGAAGATGACCTACTTGGAAGGTAAATCTGCAGGGATCAAGGGATCGGCTCCCAGCCAAGACCCATCAGGCACTGCCTTTGATCTTACCAGTCACATTGGAGGGAGCAATTGAGGAGAGTCCTCACAACTTCTTCGGGGTGGCTGGTGCTGATCAGTCGGAGAAGCCGGAAGAATTCATGGCGGGCCGCAGGATCCGTGATTTGATCCAAGGAGGAATACATGGATTTGACCATCTTTGGCACCTGGGAAAGAGGATTTCATGATATCTCTGCGTGAGACAGGTAGTCCTCGACTTACGACCACAACGGAGCCCAACATTTCCGCTGCCCCATTTTATGACCTTTCTCGCCACGGTTGTTAAGTGAATCACCGCAGGTGGTAAATTAGTCACGCGGTTGTTAAGCGAAACTGGTTTTCCCCTTGACATTGTTTGGCAGAAGGTCACAAAAGGGGGATCACGTGACCCCAGGACGCTGCAACCGTCGTAAGTACGAGCCAGTTGCCAAGTATCAGAATTTTGATCCTGCGACCATTGGAGTGCTACAAAAGTCATAAGCATGAAAAATGATCATAAGTCACATTTTTTTAGTGATGTAACTTCGAGAGGTCACTAAATGAACTGTTGTAAGTTGAGGACTACTACACCTATAAACCATCCACCCTTTTTCTCCCTGCTGGCTTCTTCACAAGAACTCCAGGTAATTGTGTAATTCTGCTAAAATATTTCCATTACGGGTAGTCCTTGACTTAAGACCACAATTGAGCCCAAAATTTCCGATGCTAAGTGAGACAATTGTTAAATCAGTTTTGCCCCATTTTACAACTTTTCTTGCTAAGGTTGTTAAGTGAATCACTGCAGTTGTTAAGTTAGTAACCGGGTTGTTAAGTGAATTGGCTTCTGTTGTGGCCCGTCAGTGGCCTGTGCAGCTAGTAGCTGATTCTGACAGCGAGGAGGCTGGTGTGGTGCAGCCTGTGCAGCTGGCACTCGAGTCGGACAGTGAGGAGGCTGGAGAAGATGTGGTGCCAGAGGCGGGGATTCAGCCAAGGCCTTCAGAACCTCCAGAAGCTCCCATAAGTGAAGAGGAAGAAGAGGAGGAGCCTCTTCTCGATGCACGGGCGCGCAGAGCTGCCAAAAGGCAGGAGTGGCTCCTCAGGAGGAGGTCTCCTCGAGAGTAAGGCTTGGGGCTAATTGGCCACTTCCTTAGCCTATTTAAGGAGGAACGCCGACTGGAGCAATTTGCAGGGAACAACTTCATTCACATACCTTCGTGTCTTGTCTTGCTTATCTTATCAGCTTCCTGCAAATTGCTTCTGGGCATTCTGCCAGCCAAAGTAAGCTTTCAGTTATTATTCTTTGAATTCTTGGCGGCTGTTAAGGCAGTTAATTAACAGCCGTTGTAAAATACTGGTTTATTTAGTAAACTAAGGTTTGAACGGACTTTGTGTGTGCTGCGTTCTTTGGGGTCCGTAGCTGGGGCAGAACAGCTTCCCCATTGACTTTGCTCATCAGAAGGTCGCAAAAGGGGATCACGTGAACCCGGGACACTGTGATCGTCATAAGTATGAGTCAGTTGCCAAGCGCCCAAATTTTGATCACAGGATCCTGGGGATACTGCAATGGTCATAACTGTGAAAAACGGTCCTGTCACTTTTTTCAGTGCTGCTGTAACTCTGGTCGGTCACTAAACGAACAGTTGTAAGTCAAGGACTATCTGCACAGCCCTGAACTACAGATCCCAGATCCCAGCTAAGCTTGTCTGGATGTGTCTGGATGTCAATCAGGATCAGAATTTTTCATTAGCAAGCAAAACGATTGTTAAGAGTGTTGCACCCTATTTTACGATCTGTTGTTGTTAAATCGATTACTGCAGTTGTTAAGTGAATCCTGCGGTCGTTAAGCAAATCCAGCTCCTTTCATCAACTTGGCTCTTCGGAAGCCGACCGGGAACATCGCAAATGGCGATTGGGGGACTTCCGGTGTCCAAGTGCCCGAGTTTTGATTATGGGACCTTGACGGTCGTAAGTGCGAGGAACGGTCCAACCACCAACCCATTTACCTTCACAAAATTGGATTTGGGCTCCCTCAGCATGGCTTTAAGCATTCGGACGGCAACTTTTGTGTTGTGGATAGTATCGTTCTTCATGCCTCGGAGGGCAGCCAGAATTAATTCCATTTGATCGTTTGCACGCAGGTATTTTTTCAATATCTGGAAACAGAAAGTAAGTGAAGCCCAAAATCATCATCTTCTTTTAACGACCCCCATAATCCCTTGTGGGGCGGAGTCTGGGCAACTGAATGGAGCTAGCAGAGTGTTTTACTGGCCGGATGCCGTCCCTGTTGCCAATGCAGAGTTTTGTTCAGCAGATATATTCTCATTCTACCCAGAGAGAGAAATATCTGCCTCTATCTAGGATCGAACTCACAGCCTCCTGATTGTGAGTAGAGAGCTCCACTTCTAGGCTATGCACCACTCATCATCATCTTTTAATGACCCCATAATCCAGAGGTGAAATCCAAAATTTTTCCCTACCAGTTCTGTGGGTGTGGCAGGGGAAGGATATTGCAAAATCTCCATTCCCATCCCACTCCAGGGAAAGGATACTGCAAAATCTCCATTCTCTCCCCTCCTGGGGGAAGGATATTGCAAAATCTCCATTCCCATCCCACTCCAGGGAAAGGATACTGCAAAATCTCCATTCTCTCCCCTCCTAGGGGAAGGATATTGCAAAATCTCCATTCCCACCCCACTCCAGGGGAAGGATATTGCAAAATCCCCATCCCCTCCCCACTCCAGGGGAAGGATACTGCAAAATCTCCATTCCCACCCCACTCCAGGGGAAGGATACTGCAAAATCTCCATTCTCTCCCCTCCTGGGGGAAGGATATTGCAAAATTTCCATTCCCACTCCACTCTGGGGCCACCCAGAGGTGGTATTTGCCGGTTCTCTGAACTACTCAAAATTTCCGCTACCGGTTCTCCAGAACCTGTGAGAACCTGCTGGACATTTCACCCCTGCCATAATCCCTTGCGGGGTGGAATCTGGGCAACTGAATGGAGCTAGCGGAGTGTTTTAATGGCCGGATGCCGTCCCTGTTGCCAATGAGGAGTTTTGTTCAGCAGATATATTCTCATTCTACCCAGAGAGAGAAATATCTGCCTCTACCTAGGATTGAACTGACAGCCCCTTGATTGTGGGGCGAGAGCTCCGCCTCTAGGCCACCGCACCACTCCTGAAGTGAACCCCAAAATGTGGCAAGCAAACCGGTTGTCTGGACGACGAGAAACATTCAAATTTTCTGGGAGAAGGAAAATTACCGTGGCAGCCATGCTCACATCCGAAAACCAAGCCAGCCAAAACATCTTCTCTTCTTCCCATTCCTGTAGAAGATCTAAATATTCTTGACTATCTTCTGTCTTCGTCAGACCTCAAGGAAAGGAACACAAAAATAGGGAATACTGTCGTTTGTGTTTTCCAAATACAGGTAGTCCTCGATTTATGGTGGTCACTGAGCAACCGAAAGTTACAACAGACTTCTCCCCCAAAAGGTACAGGTAGTGCTGGATTTACAGCAATTACCGTATTTTTCGGAGTATAAGACGCACTGGAGTATAAGACGCACCTACCTTTTTTGGTGAAGAAAAGAAGAAAAAGAAATCTCCCTCTGCCTCTGAGCAATTGTGCCTCTTTGCAGCAAACAGCCTGCTTTTCTTTCATTTTCGTTTTCACCATAACTTGATTAGCACAAGGGAAAAAAAAAATCTGCTCCAGCAATTTACCTCCTTGCAGCAAGCAGCAGAGCCCTGCGCAGAACAGCTGAGAGCAAAACAGCTGAGAGTCGGGAGGCCGATCCAATCAACATTGTGCTAATTAGGCTGTGCTGAAGCTGAAATGGGCTGTTTCTTCTTGCTGTTTGCTGCAATTGGTAAATTGCTGGGAGGCAGAGGCCAAAGGGTGGGAGCCAGTGGCTGGGCGGGGCTACATTCGGTGTATAAGACACACCTAAATTTTCACCCCCTTTTAGGGGGAAAAAAAGGTGCGCCTTATACTCCGAAAAATACGGTAGTTTAGTGACTGTTTGAAATTACCACAGGACTGAAAAATGTGACTTGATCATTTTTCACATGACCATTGCAGCATCCCCATGGTCACATGATCAAAATTTGGGGGAGGAGGAGAAGGAGGAGAGATTCATGAGCCGAGGTGGCGCAGTGGTTAAGAGTGCAGTACTGCAGCTACTTCAGCTGACTGCTCGTTCAGCAGATCAGTGGATCAAATCTCACCGGCTCACGGTTGACTCAGCCTTCCATCCTTCCGAGGTGGGTAAAATGAGGACCCAGATTAGTATACTGTCTTTGGTGTAAGCCGCCCAGAGTCCTTGGAGAGTGGGCGGCATAGAAATATGACTAAATAAATAAATAAATAAATAAATAAATAAATAAGAAGAAGAGGAATAACAATAGCACTTAGACTTATATGCCGCTTCACCGGGCTTTACAGCCCTCTCTAAACAGTTTCCAATCTGGGTCCTCATTTTACCGACCTGGGAAGGATAGAAAGTTGAATCAACCTTGAGCCCGGTGAGACTCGAACTGCCGAACTTCTGGCAGTTGGCAGAATTAGCCTGCAATACTGCATTCTAACCACTGTGTCACTACATGGGGTCCTTGGTGCTCTCTGAGGTTGGTTGTTTTCTTGGAGACATTTCATGACCCAACTAGGTAACATCATCAGTGCTAGAAGGGAGCGGGGTTTGTAGAGAGGAGGAGGAGGAGTGATGGTCCTGGTTGTTCTCTGAGCTTGGATGATTTTTTCAGACGTCTCATGACCCAACTCGGTAACATCATCAGATGCTGGAAAGGAGTACTGTTTGTGCTGATGATGTCATCCAGTTGAGTCATGAAATGTTTGCAAGAAAACCACCAAGCTCAGAGAGCCCCAAGGACCCCACATTTCAACCCTGAGTTACAAATATTTACCTGTGTCAAGTTTCGAGGTCGTCTCAAATAAATTGCATTTCAAACAAAGTCTTTGATGAAAAACTCCCATTTATTAAGCACGACATTCTAACTCCGACTCCATCGTAGCCAGCACAGACTTCCTGACCCAAAACCCTCCCTTTCCTTTCCCCACTCCCCTGCACTCATTGGCCATCTTCCAAGTCACTCTACCCCTAATCTACTGCTCCAGCTCAAAGGAATTTCCCCCCTCCCATCCCATCTCCTAGGGGATATTATCTCCCGGGAAAATAAGTAGGTGAAAAGTCAAACGTCCCTTTCCAGACGCCTCCGCCTCTCCTTCTTATGTCAGCACTAGGGTCTGTCTTGATTTTAGGGTTAGTTTTAAAATTTTAATATTGATTTTAATTGACAAGTTTTAAATTATGGGCCAAATTTATAAATTATTTTAACTTTATTTTTAACTGATGTTTGTATAGATGTTTTTATCTTGGCTGTTCACCGCCCTGAGTCCGAAAGGAGAAGGGCGGTATAGAAATTTGAATAATAAATAATAAATAAATAAATAAATAAATAAATAATAAATAAATAAATAAATAAATAAATAAATAAATAAATGCAGCTTGAAGTGCTGACAACCTGTACATTTCTAAAAACAAAGCTATAAACAAACTTTTTTTTTTTTAATTCTTAGAAACCTCTTTCAGAGGTGCCCCTTTTCCAGGTCTGTCCTTTATTTTCCCCCCAAGAAAATGTGATCACGGTACAAAAAGACATTTCTTGGATAGGCGCACCTGACCGTAGTCGCTGATCCACCCCACATCCCATGCTCCCCTTACTCTTTTGATGCACGATCAGGGTGTAGAGGCGGTGGAGTCCATCGGCTGCCCAGCAGGAGGCACCTTCGTTGGGGTCACTGCAGGCCAGGATCAGCCCCCCGGCGATCTTCCCCAGCTTGATGGCCTTCAGTCCCTAGAGCGGGTGGGGAAGGCGGGAAAATAAGAGCGCATATTATTTTATTCATGCGTTTAATAAACATATTTATATAGGGGCCTCTCTCACAGGGAGGTGATGCCTATTTATACGAGTTCTTCCTTACTTTGTGCCTCTGATTCAGAGAAAAAGACATTTTTGGCACTAAACGACATTCAGCTGGCTGGGGAATTCTGGGAGTTGAAGGCCAGCTGTCCCCCTTTGCTTTTTCCCACAATGCTGAGATTTAGCAAGTCTGGAAAAAAAACAACTCACTTCCCTGTTGAGACAGTGGTTGATGATGCAGCTGATGACCTTGGCAATCCGGGACAACGTTTGTTCTCGTTCCTCGGGATTCGGGGAGGTCATTCTTGGGTACAGGAACTGGGAGGAAGGAAGGGAGAGAGGAAGGAAGATAAGAATGAGAAAAGGAAGGTAGGAGGGAGGGAGGTAGAGAGGAAGGAAGATAAGAGTGAGAAAAAGAAGGAAGGAAGGAAGGAGGGAGGGAGGGAGAGAGGGAGATAAGAATGAGAGAAAAGGAAAGTAGGAGGGAGGAAGGGAGAGAGGAAGGAAGATAAGAATGAGAAAAGGAAGGAAGGAAGGAAGGAGGGAGGGAGGGAGGAAGATAAGAATGAAAAAAGAAAGGAAGGAAGGAGGATAAGAATGAGAAAAGGAAGGTAGGAGGGAGGGACAGAGGGAGAGAGGAAGGAAGATAAGAATGAGAAAAGGAAGGAAGGAGGGAGGGAGAGAGGAAGGAAGATAAGAATGAAAAAAAAAGAAAGGAAGGAAGGAAGATAAGAATGAGAAAAGGAAGGTAGGAGGGAGGGACGGAGGGAGAGGAAGGAAGATAAGAATGAGAAAAGGAAGGAAGGAGGGAGGGAGGGAGAGAGGGAGATAAGAATGAGAAAAGGAAGATAGGTAGGAAGGAAGGAGGGAGGGAGGGAGAGAGGAAGGAAGATAAGTGAGAAAAGGAAGGAAGGAGGGAGGGAGATAAGAATGAGAAAAGGAAGATAGGTAGTTAGGAAGGAAGGAGAGAGGGAGGAAGGGAGGGAGAGAGGAAGGGAGATAAGAATGAGAAAAGGAAGGAAGGAAGGAGGGAGGGAGAGAGGGAGAGAGGAAGGGAGATAAGAATGAAAAAAAGATGGATGGATGTATAGATGGAAGGAAGTAAGTAAAATAAGAATGAAAAGAAAGGAAGATAAGAATGAAAAAAAAAGGAAGGAAGGAAAAGAATAAAAACGAAGGAAGGAAAATAAGAATGAAAAGGAAGGAAGATAATAAAAAATGGAATGAAGGAATGAAGGAACGAAGGAAGGAAGGAAGACCATTTCATTGGAACGCAAAACAGGCATGAATGATCATTGTGGGACCTGCCGCGAAATGTCGCTCTAATTTCCCTGCCCGTTTCGTCTCATTCCCACAGCCGTTTTCCCCTGCGCAACCAGGCTGCGCATCTCTAGCCAAGCCTGCTCAGACTGCGGTGGGCTGTGGGGTGGGGGTGGGGGTCCCCACTCCTTCAGGGCCCTTTTTCCCAAATATTTTCATGCTTCCGGTCTTTGCGCGGGGCGACGACACTCACCCGGAGGATGTCCCTCAGCAACGTGGCGTTGTAGTACTCGTCTCGGAAGCCGTCTTTCCCACTGTCCATCGTGGCGGTAACCAGGTCCACACATTCCAGGAACTTGGAGGTCTCCGGCACATCCTAAGGAGCCCCTCGCCCCCCCACCCCCCAAAAAAGTTTAAAAATACAATTTTGGCAAAAAACAGGAATGGTGTTGACGAGCGCAGGAGAAAGGGGTCTCGTTGGATGAAGGTTGAACCTCTGATCAAGAATGATCCTTTTCCTTGGTTTACAACGGTCTCGGTTTACTGAACGTTCTCGATGAAACGCCGAGTGAACTACAGGTAGCCCTCGACCACAATTGGGCCTCACGTTCCTGTGACTAAATGAGACAGTTGCTAAGTGAGCTTTGCCCCATTTTACGACCTTCCCTGCCGTAGTTCCCCCGCCTGTTAAGTGAATCACGTGACTCTGGGACGCGGCAATCGTCACAAGTACGAAGCAATGATCAAGCAGGCCGCCGAAGGTAAGCACATGACCATGGGGGGCTGCAATTGTCTTGTGGAAAAATGGCCATAAGTCCCTTTTTCACTGCCGTTGTAACTTCGGAACATGAAATAGTATGTTTAGGGGGGTTCATTGGAAGTAAGGGGGGAGAATAACAGGGATTGTTAAGGTGGAGTAGGATTGGAGGGACTTTTTCTTTAATCTTCTCTTTCTTTCTTTCTTTCTCTTTCTTTCTTTCTTTCTTTCTTTTCTTTTTTCTTTCTTTCTTTCTTCTTTCTTTTTGTCTTTCTTTCTTTCCTTCTCCAGGACTTCCTCCCTCCCCTCCCTCCCTTTTTCATTAACTTCCTCCTTAGTACTCTTTTTTCTTCTCTTCATTCTCATGGACCTTCCTTTCCTTCCTTCGAACTTCTTCACTCTCCCTCCTTCCCCCCCCCCAGCCTTTTTTCCCTTTTTTTTTTCCTTCTTTTCTTTCTTTCTCATTCTTATCTTCCTTCCTTTCTCTTCTCATGATCTTCCCTTTTTCATTAATTAATTCCCTTCCTCTCTCCCTCCCTCCCTCCCTCCTCCTCCCCAACCCATCCTTCCTTTTTTTCCTTCTTTTCCTTCCTTCCTTCCTCACATCCTTCCTTCCTTACCTTTCTTTTCTCATTCTTATCTTCCTTCCTTTCTCTTCTCATGATCTTCCTTCTTTTTCATTAATTTCCTTCCTTCCTCTCTCCCTCCTACCTCCCCTCCCTCCTCCCTTTTTTCCTTCTTTTCATTCCTTCCTTCCTCACATCCTTCCTTCCTTACTTTTCTTCTCATTCTTATCTTCCTTCCTTTCTCTTCTCATGATCTTCCTTCTTTTTCATTAATTTCCTTCCTTCCTCTCTTCCTCCCTCCCCTCCTTCCTTCCTTCCTTCCTTCCTTCTGTCCCTTCCCTTCCTTCTTTTCCTTCCCTCCCTCTCTCCTCCCTTCCTCCCTTCCTCCCTATGCTGACTGGGGAATTCTGAGAGTGGAAGCCCACGCATCTTACAAGTTGACAAGATGAAGATTCAAAGGCCTGAATGAAAATAAATGAATTTAAGAGCAGACTAGATCTTCCTTGGGACAGTCCAGGTAGAAGAAGAGAAAGTCACACCTGAGATTTTTCATGGAGGAAAGCGCGCATCCGGCCCACGGCCTCTTTGATGTGGTACTCTGAATCCACGGAACTAAAACTTGCTTGAGAAGATGCAGAAGTTGGGGAATCTAGAAGAGAGTGGTGGCAGGGCTTTGACCCAACTTGGGTGACACCTTCCCTCCAGATCAATAAAAATGAAAACCTTGGGGAGGTTCCAGCTGTTGGCTGGAAGCCCTCTGGTTGAAGGCCCTCAACATCTCTAGTTACAGCCTGCATCTTCCACAGCTTTATGGACCCTACCATGAGCCCTAAATGATGGAGATGCTGGTGGAGCAAATGCAAACCATAATATAGGACTCTACGTCCTCCTAGGACAGGGATCTCCAGACTTGCCTTCTTGAAGACCTTGTGGACTTCAACTCCCAGAATGAATGGCTGGCTGAGGAATCCTGGAAGTTGAAGTCCACAAGTCTTAAAGCTGCCACATTTGGAAACCTCCGCTCTAGTTCCCGTAGGAGAAGGTGGAGTCTTGGGCTTTGGTGGGTCCATCTCTTCCTTCCTCCTTCCGAAGACAGGCTGGGCTGGATCCTGGTGGGTGGGGTCCCTGAACTAGGGGAAAATGTAGGGGTGAAGATGAGTGGACTTTTAAGGACATCTACTTCACACGGTGCTCAGTGAAGGATTTCACTAATGTGAGTGGTGCTCATCTCAACATATTGTGTGTTGTTGTGTGTGTTGGGGAGGGTTCCAGGCAGACTGTTTGTTCTCTGCAGCTTCCATTGTATCACTGTTTCTCAACCTGGAGCCACTTTTAAGACAGGTGGACTTCAACTCCCAGAATTCCCCACCCAGCTGTGCCTGCTTTTTTTCCCCCTCTTACCACCTAAAGTGGAGAGAATGCAGAGGAAGGGATTACAAGAGAGTAAGTAAACTATGCTGGCTGGGAATTTCTGGGAGCTGAAGTCCAAACATCTTAAAAGTTCCTGAAATTGGCAAATACTGATTTAAGGAGTGTCTGCAGGCGAACAGAGGTCAAAAAAATACAAATAGTGTCAAATCAAAACTCTGCCCTTCTTCTTGTATCATGAGTAAGTGGGGTTTGCCACTGCTCTCTTTTGACTTTTTTAAAAACTTCCTTTGCCCCAAATACTCCTTTATTTAATTTAATCTGTTAAAAATTTGCAGCAGTGGCCGCAAGGACATTAAGCTTGGTTAGTCTTAAACCCGGTTTGGGTTTAAATGGAGGTTTTCACTTATGTGAATGGTGCTCATTTCAACATATTGTGTGTTTTTGTGTGTCGGGGAGGGTTCCAGGCAGACTGTTCTCTGCAACTTCAGTTATATCACTGTTTCTTAACCTGGAGCCACTTTTAAGACAGGTGGACTTCAACTCCCAGAATTCCACAGCCAGCTGTGCCTGCTTTTTTTTTCTCTTACCACCTAAAGTGGAGAAATCGCAGAGGAAGGGATTACAAGAGAGTAAGTAAACTATAATGACTGAGGAATCCACTCGTCTGAAAAGTGTCCAAAGTTGAAAAACTCGGTTCTAAGAATCTTAGATTCAAATCTGACAAAATTATTAAAGTGTCCAAACATCAATTTTCAATGAATTTTGCACATATGTCGCCGTGTTAAGGTGTTAAGATTTATCGCAACGTCATAAAAACGAGCTATGGAAACCACAGTCCCCCCCCAAAGGTTTCCTTGAGGTGCAATGCAATGATGTCACCCTCCCGTTCTCCCCCCCAACCCAACCCTCAAAGACCCCCGATTTACCAGCATGCCTGGAGTAGCAGCTCCCACTGCTCTCCTTTCCTACGTTGGAATTCTTGAATTCTCTGGAAGACGAAGATTGTTCGAACATCCTGTGGCTTCTTATGCGCCAGAAGCTGTTGCTGGGGGAGAAACATTCATTTGTTCACCTCATACGCTTAACAAGCTCAGTTTAAAGATTCATAATTCACCAACCATTCCACTTTTAAGACCTGTGGACTTCAACTCCCAGAATCCCCCAGCCAGCCATGCTGGCTGGGGAATTCTGGGAGTTGAAGTCCACCTATCTTAAAATGGCCAACACTGCTCCAAGCGTCAAAAATCTTCTCTTCCTTTGTGATTTCTTTCCTCGATGGTTGATTTCCGGGATCTCGGATGGGCCCTCACACGCACAATGCTGCCTTCACACAACGGGGTCCAGTAGATGCATGTCTTCAGCATGCTAAGTTTGGTTTTTGCGTGAATTTTGGTGCGCTTGTTTGTGTGGCTTAGCAACTTGCGTGAGCCCGGATGCAGGATTCAGAAAATGGCTTAACGTGGCTTAAATTTCCACCAGTAGTTCCAGGCCCATTTCAATCTAGAACAGTCAGGAACCCTGACTGCATCTTTCTTTCTTTCTTTCTTTCTTTCTTTTTCTTTCTTTCTTTCTTTCTTTCTTTCTTTCTTTCTTTTCCCTTCCTTCCTTTTTTCCTTTCTTTCTTTTTTCTTCTTCTCCCTCTTCTTCCCTTCCCTTTCTTTCCTTATTTTCCTCCCTCCCTGCCTTTCTCCTTCCTTTTTCTGTCTTTTTCTTTTTCCTTCCTTTTCTGTCTTCCTTTTTTCTTCCTTCCTTCCTTTTTGTCTTCTTCCTTCCTTTTCCGTCTTCTTCCTTCTTTTTCTGTCTTCTTCCTTTTCCTCCCTTCCTTTTTCTGTCTTCCTTCTTTTTCTTCTTCTTTCCTTTCTCCCTTTTTTCCTTCCGCTCGGCTGATGCAAATCGATAATTCAGGACAGTTGTAACGGTTGATTTTCAACTTTCAACTCTGGATGTGCTTAGTGCAGGCTCTTTCAACTCTGGGGGGGGGCACATTCTCACCATCTGTCCCCCACCCCACCCCTCCAAGTGCTCACCTCCAAACACCTTTAACTGGTAACATTCCAGAACAATGGGGAACTCCAAGCCTTTTGAATTTCTGATTTCTTGCAACACTGCTGAGTTGCCATTCATTGTGACACCTGTCCTGTCATTTGGCTCTTTTCCTGGGGCATCATGGACCACATATGGACCTGGTGAGGACAAACTCAAAACCAGCCTATTCCAAATCTGCCTTTATCTTCTTTTTTCTCTTCTCAAGGGAAGAAAAGACATATTTTTAGAACTTTAGCACTGATGAAGTAACCTAGTTGGGTCATAAAACGTCTGCAAGACAATAAGCAAGCTCAGAGGGCACCAAGGACCCATCCACTCCTCTTCCTCCTCCTTTTAGTACATAGTTTTTGAGAAGAGATTTGACAACCATTTGTCTGGAATGATACAGGGCCGTGATGGCAAACCTATGGCACGCGTGCCAGAGGTCAAGGTTTTGGTTACCACCTTTAGAGCGCTCCATGGCGTACGACCTGGTTATTTACGGGACCGCCTACTACCACCAATAGCCTCCCACCGGCCGGTACTCTCTCATAGAGAGGGGCTCCTCCGGGTGCCATCGGCCAAACAATGTCGACTGGCGGCCCCCAGGGGGAGGGCCTTCTCTGTGGGGGCACCTACTATCTGGAACGAGCTCCCCCCGGAGATACGGAGGATCCCGGATCTGCGCACCTTCCGCCGCGCTCTCAAGACCTTTTTATTCCACCCGGCGGGCCTGGCCTAATCTTTTCCCTCTTTTTAATTATGCAAATTTTAATCGGTTTTTAAATGATTGGGGTGTTTTAATCTGTCTGGGCCAAATTGTATAATTCGATTTGATTTTGTTTTCAAATTTTGTATCTATGTGTTTTTTACTGTTTGGCTGTTCACCGCCCTGAGTCCTTTGGGAGTAGGGCGGTACATAAATCAAATAAATAAAATAAAATAAATAATAAAATAAATTGGCACACAGAGTCATCTCTCCGGGTGCGCGAACCGTTGCCCGTTGCTCTTCCGGGTTCTGGCACGCCAGCCAGCTGGTCGTCACGCATGTGGCAGCACTGGCGTGCTGGGAAGATGATCTTAACTTTCCGGCCCACGCATGCCCACTGGCCAGCTGGTTTTTGCGCGCGCATGGATGCCAGAAACCGGAAGACCAGGTGGCCGGCGTGCATGTGTGGGCCGGAAATGGGAAGAGCAGCTGCCCGGCGCACACATGCCACTGGGCAGCTGCTCTTCCGGTTTGTGGCACACCTGTGTGTTTCGCCACGGAGTGCCGATAAAGTCCGCCAACACTGATATAGGATTTCCTGCTTGAGCAAGGGGTTAGACTGGATGACCTCTAAGGTCCCTTCCAACTCTTATTACGCCATTACTGATAGGAGTAGTCCCTTCTGGGCCTCTTTGTCTGCCATTATGCAGCTGAGGGCTCAGCGATCTCTTATCTGACTGTTCTCTAGGCCGCTGTTCTCTCATGAAACATCAGAGAGCAACAAGGCCCACGAAGGGCACCTTACCTGCTCAACCAAATTTGGAGAAGTCTCTTTCAGAAGCCAGGTTGGAAAAGCGGAACGAACGTCACGCTTTGAAGCTTTATCTTTGCAAAAAGCTCGACTGGATCCGGAGTTCAAATGAACAAGGCCGGAAGTTCCCTCGCTCCAGAAATAAATCAGAAATAATAATGGCAAAGACACCCCTGGTCCCTCCTGGCTCAAATCCCAGGACTCTAGAGTCCAAGGCCACACAGGTGAGCCACATTCCAGCCTCCAGGAAAGTTGGTGATGTCACAGTGCCCAACCTGTTGACTCAACAAAAGGCCACCAACCAGTGGTGGGATTCAAATAATTTAGCAACCGGTTCTCTGCCCTAATGATTTCTTCCAACAGCCAGTTCACCAAACTGCTCAGAAAGTTAACAACCGGTTCTCCCGAAGTGGTGCGAACCGGCTGAATCCCATCACTGCCACCAACTGAGCTTTCCAAAGAAGTCCGCGCAGCTCTGAGCATCTGTGGGCCAATTATTATGAAATATAAAACGCATCTTTTTTGAGTTTCATCCCGTGAAGAGCGAGAAGGTTGCATGTTCTACTACCTACAAGGCCTTCATCATCTCTGGAAGCTTTCAAGAAGAGAACTGGGCTGCCATCTGTCAAAAATGATGGAGGGTCTATTTGAGTGGGTGGGTGGCAGGGGGTGAAATGCTACTGGTTTTGGCCGGTTCGCCTAAACCCATAGTAAAAAATGTAAAAAAAAAAAAAAAAAGGCTCCGACGATCAGCTGAGCGACACAAGATCATCGGAACTTTTTTTTAAAAAAACTTTTTAAGCATTTTTTTACTACCGGTTCTCTGGAACCAGTAGTTAAAAATGCTTTAAAAAAAGTTTTTTAAAAAGTTCCGACGATCGCGCGTCACTCAGCTGATCGTCGGAGCCTCTTTTTTTTTTTTTTTAAACCTTTTAAAAGCATTTTTTTACTACTGACTCGGGCGACAGATTCTGTTAATCTGTAATCAGCCATTTTGAGAATCCATCGGAAAGTGGGATGGAGCTGGGGTGGAATTCACTTACTTTCCCCGACCAGTTTGCATATGTGCGTGCGCGTCCAGGCATGTGCCCGGCCTTTTGCGCATGTGCTTTGCTGGCCCGTGTGCCTTCCACACGTGCCCGGCCTCAAAAATGTACCTAAATAGGATGGCATAGAGCTGGGGGCGGGGGGAAAGGGCAGGTCCAGCCACGATTTGTGCTACCAGTTTGGGAAAATTGTCCGAACCGGCTGAATACCATTTCTGGATGGAGCCACATTAGAACTGTAGAATCCAACTTACAAACAAGCAAACTTGGAAATATAGGCATCTTCCGTCTCTTAGATTAGTGTTTCTCAACCTTGGTAGCTTGAAGATGGGTAGACTTCAACTCCCAGAATCCCCCAGCCAGCAGCACTGGTGGCTGGGGGATTCTGGGAGTTGAAGTCCACCCATCTTCAAGCTACTAAGGTTAAGAAACACGGTCTTAGACTGAGGTCTCCTAAGCTTGCCCCCCTTTAAGTGACTCACATGGTCAACCGGTACATGCCAGTTCCCGAGCGGCCCAATGTTGATCATGTGACCATAGCGATGTTGTGACGGTCCTAAGTGCGAGGACCAGTTGTAAGTCCCCTTTTTCCCCCATGCTGTTGAAACTTTCAAGTCACTAAACGAACGGCTGAAATGCGAGGATTACCTGTATTACCTCTGTATTCCTTATTTGAGCAAAGCGGTACATTGATAAATATTTAACAACGATCCATCGTCCTAAACTTGGTTAGGACTCATCTTGGCTTGGTTTTTTAATCCGTTTGCATGTTGTGCAAATGCCACTTGTTGGTTAGTGCCTCCTACTCCAAAAGAAAAGGATTAGGGGGGACATGATAGCAGTCTCCCAATATTTAAGGGGCTGCCCCAAAGAAGAGGTGGTCAACCTATTCTCCAAAGCCCCTGAAGGCAGGACAAGAAGCAATGAATGGAAACTAATCAAGGAGAGAAGCAACCTAGAACTAAGGAGGAATTTCCTGACAGTGATGACAATTAACCAGTGGAACAGCTTGCCACCAGAAGTTGTGAATGCTCCAACACTGGAAGGTTTTAAGGGGTTGGACAATGATTTGTCTGGAATAGGGTTTCCTGCTTGAGCAGAGGGTTGGATTAGAAGGCCTCCAATGTCTCTTCCAACTCTGTAATTCTATTTAATCAATCAGAATAGAGCCAGAAAGAGACCCTGGAGGTCTTCTAGTCCAACCCTCTACTCTCATCTTAAAAACCTCCAGTGTTGGAGCATTTACAACTTCTGGAGGAAAGTTGTTCCACTGGTTAATTGTCTTCACTGTTAGGAAGTTTCTCCTTCAATTCCAGGTTGCTTCTCTCCTTGATGAGTTTCCATCCGTTGTTTCTTGTCCTGCCTTCTGGTTCTTTGGAGAATAGGTTGACACCCCCTCTTCTTTGGGGCACCCCCTCAAATACTGGAATACTGCTCTCATGTCACCCCCGTCCTCTTTTTCTCTAGACTAGCCAAACCCAAATCCTGCGATCTTTTAGTCTCCAGGCCATTAATCCCCTTAGTTGCTCTTCTTCGCACTTTCTCCAAAGTGTCTCGACATCTTTTTTTGTAACATGGGGTGATCAAAACTGGATGGAATATTCCAGGTGATTCCATCACTCTCTCCTTGTGACACAGTCACATTTGTGAAATGCGTGTGTGGCAGTGGTGAAATCTAAAATGTTACTGTGGGCGTGGCTTGGGGGGGTGGGGTAATGTGACTGGGTGGGCGTGGCCATTAAAAAAAAGAGGTTGTAAAAAAATGCTTTCAAAAGGCTCTGATGATCCCAGTTGAGTTGCCTGGTCAGAGGCTTTTTTTCTTTTAAAAGCCTCTGCCAATCAGGCAACTCAGCTGGGATCGTCAGAGACATTTAAAAGAAAAAAAAGCCTCTGCCGATTAGGTAACTCAGCTGGGATCGTCAGAGGCATTTAAAAGAAAAAAAGCCTCTGCCGATCAGGCAACTCAGCTGGGATCGTCAGAGACATTTAAAAGAAAAAAAACCTCTGCCGATTAGGCAACTCAGCTGGGATCGTCAGAGGCTTTTAAAAGAAAAAAAGCCTCTGCCGATCAGGCAACTCAGCTGGGATCGTCAGAGGCTTTTAAAAGAAAAAAAACCTCTGCCGATCAGGCAACTCAGCTGGGATCGTCAGAGACATTTAAAAGGAAAAAAAAAGCCTCTGCCGATTAGGCAACTCAGCTGGGATCGTCAGAGGCATTTAAAAGAAAAAAAGCCTCTGCCGATCAGGCAACTCAGCTGGGATCGTCAGAGACATTTAAAAGAAAAAAAACCTCTGCCGATTAGGCAACTCAGCTGGGATCGTCAGAGGCTTTTAAAAGAAAAAAAGCCTCTGCCGATCAGGCAACTCAGCTGGGATCGTCAGAGGCTTTTAAAAGAAAAAAACCTCTGCCGATCAGGCAACTCAGCTGGGATCGTCAGAGACATTTAAAAGGAAAAAAAGCCTCTGCCGATTAGGCAACTCAGCTGGGATCGTCAGAGGCATTTAAAAGAAAAAAAGCCTCTGCCGATCAGGCAACTCAGCTGGGATCGTCAGAGGCTTTTAAAAGAAAAAAAACCTCTGCCGATTAGGCAACTCAGCTTGGATCGTCAGAGGCATTTGAAAGAAAAAAAACCTTTGCCGATCAGGCAACTCAGCTGGGATCATCAGAGGCTTAAAAAACCATTTTTTCTACAACCTCTTCGGCGAAGAGGTAAAAAAATGTAAAACGTAAAAAAATGCTTTCAAAAGGCTCCGACGATCCCAGCTGAGTTGCCTGATCATCAGAGGCTTTTTTTCTTTTAAAAGCCTCTGCCGATCAGGCAACTCAGCTGGGATCGTCAGAGGCTTTTAAAGGCATTTTTTTCTACCACCTCTGAAGAGGTGGTAGAAAAAATGCTTTTAAAAGCCTTTGACGATCCCAGGTGAGCCGCGCAATCATCAGAGGCTTTTTTTTTTAACTTTTAAAAGCATTTTTTCGGCCGAAAAAGGTTGTAGAAAAAATGCTTTTAAAAATAAATTAAAAAAAGCCTCTGTTGATTTTGTGGCTCAGCTGGGCATGGGGGAGGCGCACAGGGATTTTTGCTACCGGTTCTCCGAACCACCCGCCTCCATCGCTACTGGATCGGGCGATCCGGTCCGAACCGGGAACATTTCACCCCTGGTGTGTGGTCATTTGAGCAATGGCATTACTGGCCCAGTCATACTGGGGCCTCACTGGCACGATAGCGCAACAGCACACACAAAATCTTTCACGATGCTTAAATTCAAAGGACCGAAGGGAGTTTAAACAGCGATCTTAATAAATAGAAGTCTAGTGATGCGCATATTGAGAAACGGGTAAACAGCTACTGCCCTGTCTCTCTCCCAGATTAGTTTCCATCCGTTCTTTTCCCGTCTTGCCTTCAGGTGCTTTGGAAAATAAGTTGACCCTCTCTTCTTTGTGGCAGTTTCAATATTTGAGGGGCTGCCACGAAGAAGAGGGGTCCACCTACCCTCCAAAGCACCTGAAGGCAGGACAAGAAGCAACGGATGGAAAGTGATCAACCTGTAAGAAAGGAGAGATTTCATAACAATTAGAACAATTAATCAGTGGAACCTCGGAGGTTGGCTCCAGAAGTTGTGAGCGCTCTATCACTGGAGGCCTTCAAGAAGAGACTGGACAGCCACTTGACTGGGGTGGTGTAGTATCTCCTGCTCGAACAGGGGTTGGACTAGAAGGTCCCTTCCAACTCTTATTATGCTATTACTGATAGGAATAGTCTCTTCTGGGCCTCTTTGTCTGCCATTATGCAGCTGAGGGATCAGCAATCTCTTATCTGACTTTTCTCTTGGCTCCATCCCCCAAGGTCTTGTTGTGATCCGCCAGCAGCCTGCGGAACTGACAGCAGTCGGACAGTGAGAAGGCTGGGGCAGACCATGGGCCAGTCCTGGAGTCTGGGGAAGGCTTGGACGAGGGCTCTGCGTCGGAGGCAGAGAAAGGGCCATCTGGGAGTGATGCACGGACTCTGGAGCCTCCAGAGTCGGACAGCAGAGAGGCAGAGGAACAGGAGGAGCCTGTTCCTAGTGCGCGCATGTGCAGAGCTGCCAGAAGGCATGAACAGTCCTTAAAGCAAAAGGGACGACTCGGGAGTAAGGCCTGGAGATGATTGGCCTCTCCCATAAGGCTTAAAAGAGGAGCAAAGGCACGTGGGCCCTTTGCAGGAAAGCAACGTTGTTAATTCTGTTCCCAGTCGGCATCTCCGTTTGATTCTGGACTCCGTGTGGCTTTGCCAAGTAGGTCTTTGGCAGCGTGTCAAGGGAGATAAAGGTGGGTGATTATCTCAAAGGACTTTTTGCAACTAATTGGGACTCAGCTGTGAATGAATGTAGTTCACAGCTGTTGCAATAAAAGAGGTTTTTGTGACTAGTCGTGTGTTTTAATGACTCAGGAAGCCGAGGTCACAACAGGTCTTTCTCACATACCATTACCTCATGTCATGTCACTGGCCTCCCCCTTAGGGGCTCGCTAGCCCCATGTGCCTCAACGTCCCCCTGCCCCACCCCTTCCCCGGAGACGAATGTGAAGGGTGGAAACTCATCCTTTTTCTCCAAAATAGAACAGAGTATTTATATATTAATGTTAACACTTCTCTTTACAAAAGGAATCCAGCAGCGAGAATAATAGCCGAAGCAGGAGAACACAAGCCACTCAGCCTGCCTCTGCGAGAGAGGAGAGGGGTACAGTCACCGGCTGAGAGGGAGGCGGGAGGCGGCGGGACCCTGCTGGCTGTTTCACAGCAGTCCTAGCTACAGGGTGGCTTCTCTGGGATCCATCATCCACGGCCTCAAAAGCATCTCTTGGTCCAATAGGGTTGGAAGACAGTCACCAATTCCGGGCCTTCCTCCAAGGGTCAATTCCTTGAGTAGACAAATACTATTCACCGCCTGGAAGGACGAAAAGCATGAAAAAATTAAATTAAATTAAATTACATTTTCTTTCTTTCTTTATCTTTCTTTTTTTTCCTTTCCTTTCTCCTTCCTTCCTTCCCTTTTGTTCTTTCTTTCTTTCATCTTTCTTTCCTCCCTTTTTTTTTTCTCTTCCTTCCCTCCTTCCTTTCTTTTTTTTCTTTCCTTTCTCCTTTCTTCCTTTTCCTTCCCTTTTTTGTTCTTTCTTTCTTCCATCTTTCTTTCTTTCCTCCCTCCTTTTCTTTTTTGTTTTCCTTCCCTCCCTCCCTCTCTCCCTCCACTTTCTTTCTTTCTCTTTCTTTCTTTCTTCCTTTCTTTCTCCCTCTTTTCTTTTCTTCCTCTTTCTTTCTTTTTTCTCTTTCTCTGTTTCTCCCTTTCTTCTTTATTTCTCTCTCTATCCTCCCTCCCTCCCTCCCTCCCAAAAGCAAGCAGTTAGGAATATATCTACAGGGGAAAAAAGTCAGTGAAAAAGAAGGGAGAAGGGCACATTTTACCTGTTTATAGAATTTGCCTCTTTTCCAGGTTCACACTGGATCCACAAACCAACTAAGCAAACTACATTCATCCAATGTGCTGAATGAAGCCACTAAAATAGAGGCAAGTCCTCTGCTTACGACTTACAAGTGAACCCAAAATTTCCGTGGCTAAGCGAGATAGTTGTTAAGTGAGTTTTGCCCCATTTTACGACCTTTCTCGCCACAGTGAAGTGAATCAGTGCAGTCGTTAAGTTAGTGACACAGTTTATTTTTATTATTATTAAATAATAATAATTTAATGATTATTTAGTGATTAAGTGAATCTGGTTTCCCCCTTGACTTTGCTTGTCAGAAGGTTGCAAAAGGAACACTGCAACCGCCACAAGTACATGCCAGTTGCCAAGCCTCTGAATTTTGATCATGTGACCGTGGGGATGCTGCAACGGTCGTTAAGTGTGAAAAATGGTGCTTCAATCAGGGTGGATTTGATTTAAATCAAGTCGATTTAAATCATGATTTAAATAAATAAATAAATAACTTTATTGTCATTGTACTAGTTGTTAGGACATGACTATTACCTAACTTGTTGGGTTGGCAATATATAAACCATCATTATAGCATTAAGACTGCTGTATTGCATCATACTGTGTCCTGATTGGTTAGCTCTGTAGCCAATGTCCTTAAGAGGGAGCTAGAAACCTGGTTTGTTTCTCTTTGTTCCTCTTTGCTGTTTGCTGTGTTTTGCTACTGTTTGCAAATACAGAAGAACTGATTATTGTGTATGACTATGATGACTGGTAAGAAGACTTTGTTATTGGATTATCCCTGGACTATTTTGTTTTACTATCTACTGCTTTATATGTGTATGACCTGGACTGTTTATTGGACTGTGCCTTATTACTATTTCCTGAAAGTAAACACAACTCAGTGTATCTGTGTGTTGGCTGTGTTTATTCGTAACTACTCTCAATCGCTTTAATGTGCACATCCTTGCTACTCAAGGGTTACTCTGCGAATTCCTTAACACTAGTAAATCACTAGTAAAAAGGCTTGATTTAAATCTTAATTTTTAAAGAGCAACTGTCATCTCTGTCCCGCAGCGGCTCCTCCTCTGACTCGCTGTTGACTCACTGTCAATCCCAATACTGCAGAATATACAGCCTCATGCTACCTAACTAAGTTCCATTTCATGCTGCATAAACCAAATTATTAATGTATTTTAAACAGAAAACTATCTTTAGATAGGTTTTTACTCCAAAAGCATTTTATTAAAACATTTAATAAAAATAAAAAAAATCCGATTTAAATTAAAGAAAAATCTGATTTAAAAAAAATCCATTTTTTTTAAAAAAAATCATCCATTTTTATCCACCCTGTTTTCAATGCTCTTGTAACTTCAAAACAGTCACTAAACGAATGGTTGTTAAGTCAAGGACTGGCTGTATTTTACATGCTTGTTGAATTTACATCATTTCCAAGTTCGCACAATGCACGGAATCCACAAACTGACTAAGTAAACTAGGCTCATCCAAAAGGGCTGAAACATTTTTTTAGTCCCATAAAGCAAGGTAAGGGTTGGAGGTTGCTCAGGCAGAGACCCTCCCCTAATTCACAGGAGTATAAGAGACTGGGGGGGGGAGTGGTGTAGTGGCCTAGAGGTGGAGCTCTCGCCTCACAATCATGAGGCTGTGAGTTCGATCCTAGGTAGAGGCAGATATTTCTCTCTCCGGGCAAAATGAGAGCCCTTTTCGTTTGAGGGGGGAGCCGCCTGTCAACTCTGAAGCTGACCAAAGCCATGTTTGTCTGCTTCGGTGTTGCCACACTGGAGCTGAGGGTCAGAGAGGAGGGATGAGATAGAGGGAATTTTGTAGCCAAAACAAAATACTTTCTCTTGGGAACCAAGGACATTCTCACACATGGTCGGAAAAAGACGGGAGTGATGCCACCCGGTTGTCGGACTGCACGGTGATTGGACCGTGTGACAGATTGTTTTGAGGAAGCAGAAAATCTTTTACTTTTTTAATAAGGTAAAAACTACGGGAATTCTCAGAGTCGGTTTTCACCTCATATGTGCCAATAGGGTATTTTCCAATAAAAGTAATCTTTGCCGAATTCAATTGTCTTGGGGTTTTGCTTGAAATGGATTTATTACTTGGAACCCTGACAATATCTACTGAACAAAAACTCCACTCTGGCGACAGGAAGGGCATCCGGCCAAGTAAGCACTTATCTCCATTCAGTTGCCAAGACTCTGCCCCGCAAGGGATTATGGGGGGTCATTAAAAGAAGAAAGAAATTGAATATTTTTTGGGACTTATTTTATCAAAGGCTAGCTGACAAAAACAGGAACTAGAAGCAGAGAAATATATGGAAGGACCAGTGATATACGGAAGATACGTTAACTTGGTTAAACAAATATTATGATTATTATTGCTATTAATATTACTGATATTAATATAATTGATATTAATGCAATGAACATGGTTGTAAGCACTTTGATCATTATTTCCTAAATTGATTTGTACCCAGACAGCACAGTGTTCCAATTGAAATTGGAATTTTTGTATGTTATAAAAAAAAATAAAAACTGATTACAAAAAAAAAAAAATGATGATAAAGGGGTGTCCAGCAGCACAATCAGCCTTGCAAGATTCTGTTCTTAGAGCCCATCTCAAGAAAGCGAGTTTCTCTTTGTGGTTCTTATTTCCTGGTCTGCTCAATCCAACATGGCTGACAATATTAACAGAATCACAAAGTCGGAAGGGCCCTTGGAGGTCTTCTAGTCCAACCCACAGCTCAAGCAGGAAACCTAAACTGTTTCAGACAAATGGCTGTCCGATCTCTTCTTTAAAAACTTCCAGTGTTGGAGCATTCACAACTTCTGGTGGCAAGCTGTTCCACTGGTTAATCGTCCTCACTGTTAAGAAGTTTCTCCATAATTCCAGGTTGCTTCTCTCCTTGATTGGTTTCCATCCATTGTTTCTTCTCCTACCTTCTGATGCTTTGGAAAATAAGTTGATTCCCCCCTCTTCTTTGGGGCAGCCCCTCAAATACTGGAAGACTGCTATCATGTCTCCCCTAGTCATTCTTTTCTCCAGACTGATCATACTCTCTATATATATATATATATATATCAGGGGCGAAATGCTCCCGGTTCAGACTGGATCGCCCGATCTGGTAGCGATGGAGGCGGGTGGTTCGGAGAACTGGTAGCAAAAATCCCTCCCCACCCCCATGCCCAGCTGAGCCGTGCAATCATCAGAGGCTTTTTATTTTATTTTTAAAAGCATTTTTTCTACAACCCCCTTGGCCGAAAAAATGCTTTTAAAAGTAAAAAAAAAGAAAAGCCTCTGCCGATCAGCTGGGATCGTCAGGTTTTAAAAGCATTTTTAAAAAAGTTTTAAAAGTTTAAAAAAAAAAGTTGGCCACGCCCACTCAGTCATATTACCCATCACCACCAAGCCACGGCCACAGAACCGGTAGTAACAAATTTTACATTTCACCATTGATATATACCCAGGTTACACACCGTATACATCCAGACGTAAAATCTGCCACTGACCTGGTTTTCTGACCCAGCTCCCCAAACACGACAAACCCACTGAAGTGAACAAAAATTCCTTTAATTAGGAATGCGGGCAAGCCCGTGCTGGCCTCCACAACTGCTTCCTGATTAGGCCGTTCTCGACTTATAACCTTTCGTTCACGGGTGGTTTGAAGTTACAACGGCACTAAAAAAAAAAAGAAAGTGGACATATCGATCCTCACACTTATGACCACTGCAGCAGCCTCACGATCTCGTGATCAAAAATCCAGGCGCTCATTAGCCAGCATGTAATGATGATGGTTGCAGCATCCCAGGGTCATGCGATCGCCATTTTGCAACCTTCTTAGCCGGCTTCTGACAAGCAAGGTTAAAGGGGGCGGGGAGACACTGGATTCGCTTAACGACCACATAAAATGAGCTGTGAGTCACTCGGCAACCACCTTGCTTAGCTAGGAAAATCGTGGTCGAACTGTGGTCGTAAATTCAGGAATATCTGTATTGTACCTTTCAACCAGGAAATAAACTGATTTCAGAGCACTTACATACCTAACAGAATGAAATCCAGTGTAGAGAAAAGCGAAGTGAAGTCCTGCACTTACGCGAGAAAAACCAAAAGTAGACATATAAAGTGGGGGAAACCAGGTATAATAGCAGGAACTGTGAGAGGGATCTTGGGAGTCTTAGTGGACAACCAGTTAAATATGAGCTAACAATGTCTGGCGGCAGCCAAAAAAGCTAATACAATCTTTGGTTGTATAAACAGGGATACAATCAAGATCAAGGGAGGTCCTAATACCACTTTATAAAGCCCTAGTAAGGCCACACCTAGAGTCCTGCATCCAGTTTTGGTCACCACGATGTAAAAAAAGAGGTTGAGACTCTGGAAAGAGTGCAGAGAAGAGCAACCAGGATGATGAGGGGACTGGAGGCTAAAACATACGATGAACGGTTGCAGGAACTGGGCCTGGCTGGTCTAGGGAAGAGAAGGACCAGGGGAGACAGGAGAGCATCTTCCAATATTTGAGGGGCTGCCACAGAGAGGAGGGGGTCAACCTACTATTTTCCAAAACACAAGAAAGAAAGAAAGAAGGAAGGAAGGAAGGAAGGAGGGAGGGAAGAAAGGAAGGAAGGGAAAAAAAGTAAGAGAGAGAGAAAGAAAGAAAGAAAAAGAAAGAAAGAAAGAAAAAGAAAGAGAGAAAGAGAAGAAAGAAAGAAAGAGAGAGAGAGAGAGAGAGAGAGAGAGAGAGAGAGAGAGAGAGAAAGACATCTGAGTGAGCCATGGATGGACAGAAGACATGGCTGGTCTAGTGAAGAGAAGGACCAGGGGAGGCAGGAGAGCATCTTCCAGTATTTGAGGGGCTGCCCCAGAGAGGAGGAAGGGGGTCAAGCTATTTTCCAAGGCCAGAGAAGAAACAATGGGTGGAAACTGACCAAGGAGAGATTCAACCTAGAAATGAGGAGGAATTTTCTGACACTGAGAACAATCAACTGATGGAACAGAAGTTGTCTTCGGAAGTTGTGGGAGCTTCATCTCTGGAGGCTTTCAAGAAGAGACGGGACTGCCATCGGTCAGAAATGATGTAGCGTCTCCTGCTTGAGGGAGAGGGGTTGGACTAGATGACCTCCAAGGTCCCTTCCCACTCTATTAATCGGTAAATTTGGTTGATCTCAAGAAAAGCCAAACAGGATCAGAGCCAGCGACTGCAGGTAATCCTCAATTTATTTATTTATTTATTTATTTATTAGTCATATTTCTATGCGGCCCGCTCTCCGAGGACTCTGGGCGGCTTACACCAAAGACAGTCTACTAAATAGCCTATTGCCCCCCAACAATCTGGGTCCTCATTTTACCCACCTCGGAAGGATGGAAGGCTGAGTCAACCTTGAGCTGGTGAGATTTGATCCGCTGATCTGCTGAACGAGCAGTCAGCTGAAGTAGCTGCAGTACTGCACCCTAACCACTGCGCCACCTCGGCTCATAATTTATGACTACAATGGAACCCCACATTTCGGTTGCAAAGCAAGACAGTTAAATGTGTTTTGCCCCATTGGGCAATCCTTTCTTGCCACAACTGGTAATTGAATCACCGCACTTGTTCAATTAGTTTAACACAGTTTGTTAAGTGAAGCTGGCTTCCTCATGGACTTGGCTCGTCAGAAGGTCGCAAAACGGGTCCCACCCCTGGCCCCGGGACTGTGCAAACCATCGTAAATATGATCCTGTTAGCAGGCATCTGAATTTTGATCATGTGATTGCAAGGATGCTGCAACGGTCGTTAAGTGTGAAAAACGGTCGTAAGTCCCTTTTTCCAGTGCTGTTGTAACTTCGGTCACTAAAACGGACTGCTGTAAGTCAAGGAATACCAGTACCTGGATAGGAAGGCTGTCTGGGAAAAAACCAGACTTGTAGGTCAATCTGAGAGGCTCAAATCCTTCCCAGATTTTTGGCAAAACTTCCCTTCCGGAAGAGAACGTCCCCGGCCGTGCCTTATGGTTACTCTTACTTGAGTTGGGAAGCATTGTAGGGGTCCAGCAGGTGAGAACTGGCCTGCTCCAAGTTCCAGTTGAACATCTCCAGAACTTTGTGACATTCCAGTCGCGTCTTCAGTCCCAGGCAGAAGAGCTGCTCAACCTGCAAAAAAAGGTGAGAAGTGAGAGAGATCAGAGCATTATAAAAATGACAGGTAGAGCGGTCAACCACGTTACAAAAAAGATGTTGAGACTTTGGGAAAAAGTGCAGAGAAGAGCAACTAGAATAGAATGGAATAGAATAGAGATTAGTATAATAGAATAGAATAGAATCTAGTAGAGTAGAGTAGAATAGAATCTAGTAGAGTAGAATAGAGTAAAGTAGAGTAGAGTAGAATAGAATCTAGTGGTTTCCAACTGAATTCGTTCTGGGCCGGGTCCACCCACTCCCACCCCCAAATCCCGCTCCTCTTCCTCGTGCCAGGAGGAGAAATGCTCCCTTGCAGAAGTTTTTACCTTCAGATACTGGACAGCCTTTTGCACGTTCCAGCTGTGATTCTGCAGGGCGGCTTTACTCTCTTCGGTGGTGACACCGTGTACCGTGTCCTGGACCTGCAATAGGAGCAAAAGATGATGCAATTGTGCGACAGTTGTGTAACTCGGAAGAAGGTCCCAACCTCCACCCTGTTGTATTCTGGTTCCTAATTTATTTAATTCCGGTTCTTCTAAGGTTTAGTTATTTTTGCTCTTATGATGCTGCAAGCCAACTACTCGAGTGACAGTGAGATGATCAGCAGATAAATTTAATAAATAAAATAAAACTCCTGTTCTGTCCCCCGTCCTCACACAGACAAATGCAAACACGCCTGCCAATACTTTATTGTATAAACAGACCAGAATTCCTGGCAGACAAGAGTTCTGGCAGCTAACTGTAAAACGCCTGCCCAGTCCAATTAGTACTCCCAAAAAGCAGGAGAGGCCTTATCTGCAGTCCGTTTCCAGAGCGACAAATTATCCACAAGAGTTTAGTCCAAAATATATCTGAGCCGAAGTGCAGGATTCACAATGTGACTCTTTAGAGTTTAAACTTTTATCCGTCACAGAGCCTGCCGAGCAATCATGCCCCCTTTTATCCCTTGTGGGGCGTGGCTCAGTGACTCAGCTCAATCCCTGGCCCTCCCACGCCTCTTCCTTTGCTGCGCACGCTTCTCCCTCCGACGCTGCCTGGGATCAAGCCAGGATTCATCATTATCACTCTATCAATGGGTGCTCCGAAATGCCTTCCTCCTGGCCCATCCCAGGCTGTTCCTCCTGGCCTTCGGATGGAACCTGAGGCATTGCCAGAGAGGAGGGTCCTGGAGAGGGAGGCCTTGCCAGTTCCTCCCCCTCACCTTCTGAGTCCTCTTCCTCCATGAGGACGGGCTCAGGAGTCGGAGTCACAACTCCCTGTTGTCTAGGCAGATGTCCAATATTAAGTATCTGGGGGTGCAGATAACTGACAATCTGAACGAGTCTCTCCACACGTCATCCTTAAGGAAGCGTGGAAACCAGCGCCTGCATTTCCTATGTCGGATGAGGAAAGCACCTCTTTCTCCTTCTGTCCTGGCCACTTTTTACAGATGCGCGATGGAGAGCGTTTTTAACAAACTGCATCCCCGTTTGGTTTGGTGGGAGCAGCGCCTCAAGATAGAAAGTCCCTACAGAGAGTGGCGAGGACAGTGGAGAAGATTATAGGAAGCTCCCTTCCCGTCATTCAGGATGCTGCTTATAAGCGCTATGAGCTTAGAGCTCAAAGCATTGTTAGAGACCCCACACACCCACTTCACAGTCTCTGTGTTTCGGAATATTTCCAGCAGGACTTTTACCAGGTTCTAGAACAACTTTGTTCCCTGGGCCAGCCGTCTGGCAAACTCGCAAGATTCGTTTCTCTCGCCGTGTACATGGAAACATCCGAACTAGTCTGTGTTGTTTCTCTGTGTCATATATGTGGGCATATGCATAATTTTGTATTTATCTTGTCATGTTTATGTAGTGTTATATGGGAGGTGGTGACCCTTTTGAGAGCTGGATGCAACGAAATTTCATTTTTAATGTATGCCGATTAGGGTACATTCAAATTGACAATAAAATCCTATTCTCTTCCATTCCATATTTTCCATTCTATTCTATTCTCTTCTCTTCCATTCCATATTTTCCATTCCATTCCATTCCATTCCATTCCATTCTATTCTATTTTGTAATTCTAATTCTAATTCTATTCGGTAATTTTATTCTATTCTCTAATTCTAATTCTATTCTCTAATTCTATTCTATTCTATTTTATTCTATTCTATTTTATTCTCTTCTGTAATTCTCTTCGTTCTATTCTATGTCTGCTCTGTTCTATTCTAGCTGCGTAATTTTTAATATTTAACTTTTTGTTGTATTTTTGCTTTCATGATGCTACAAGTCACCCCGAGTCGCTGACAAGGAGATAGTCAGCATGTAAATTTTATAAATAAAATAACTAAACTCTCTTCTGCCACTGCAGGGAGGCCTCGACTTACAACAGTTCATTTAGTGACCATTCAAAGTTACAACGGCACCGGAAAAAAAAGTGATCAATGACCATTTTTCACACTTATGACCATTGCAGCATCCCCATGGTCGCATGATTTACATTCGGATGCGTGACAACTGGTTCATACTTATGACGGTTGCAGCGTTCCGGGGGTCGCGTGATCCCCTTTTGCGACCTTCTGACGAGCAAAAGTCAGTGGAGAAGCCAGACTCACTTAGCAACCAGGTTATTGACTAATCAAGTGCAGCGATTCACTTAACGACTATGGCAAGAAAGGTTGTAAAAATGAGGACCGGAAGCTGACGGAGGACCGGAAGCTGATGCCACAGTGAAACGGACAGGGGATTTTGTTATGGGAGCCCCTCGTTACTCCCATATAACACCCCACCTGCGTGAGCTGCACTGGTTACCAGTGGTTCTCCGGGTCCGCTTCAAGGTGCTAGTCCTCACCTATATAGGCCCTTCATGACTTAGGTCCGGGATATTTGCACGACCTTCTCCTGCCTGCCTCTCACCGTCCTGTTCGCTCACATAGGGCCGCTCTCCTCAGGGTTCCGACGGCGAGCCAATGTCACCTTGCTGTGCCCAGGGGTAGGGCGTTCTCTGTGGGTGCTCCCACCTTCTGGAATGAATTACCTACTGAGCTCCGGACAGCTCCTGATCTCCGCTCCTTCCGTCGGGACTTGAAGACTTGGCTTTTCAAACAAATAGGCTGAGACTGATTCCGGGCTTTATTATTTACTACTAATTAATTATTTGGATTAAATTATGATTTTATTGTACTTGTTTCTTAACTTGTGTTCGCCACCCTGAGTCCTTCGGGAGAATGGCGGCATATAAATACATGTAATAAGTAATAAATAAATAAATAAATTTCTGCACCCCAGAAATCCCCGCTGATAGCCCCGCCACGGGACGGTCCATCTCGGACCCCGCAGTCTAGTTTTGACTGCGGTAGTGAGGAGCACATCCTGACAGTCTCAGGGGCATCGCAAAGCCCCTGATTGATCCAGGAAAGCTCCTTTTCCAGCGGCGGGGTAGCAGCCATCAAAGCTGCTGAGGCGGAGGACAGCCTGTATTGCGGTATCCCGGGGTCACGCAATCCCCTTTTGCAACTTTCTGACGAGCGAAGCCCACGGGGAAGACAGATTCACTTAACGACTGGTGATTCACTTAACAACGGTTGTAAAATGGAGCAAAACTCACTGAACCAATTTTCATGTTCATTTCGGACTCAATTGCTGTCATAAGACGAGGACTACCTGCTGTCGTAAATCCAGGCAGCTGCGTAAGAACCACCCATCACAGCCCTGTTTTAACTGGACTGCGAACTCTTTGAAACTGACCCTCTCCCTCCGTCCTGTAGGATGGATTGTGGGGACCGTGCCTGGGGATTTGTGACCTGGGCAGGGACTTCCGAAGGAGAAGCCCCAAGGGACACTTAGGGACAAGCAGGTCACGGGTCAAGCTCCAATATAGGAGAAAATATATTTGTAACTCAAGGGTTGAAATGAGGGATCCTTGGTGCTCTGAGTCTGGAACTTTTCTTGCAGACGTTTCATTACCCAACCAGATTACACCATCAGGGCTAGAAATGAATGGGGTTTGTGGAGGAGGAGGAGGAGGAGGAGGAGGAGGACCACCGTGGGATCCTTGGTGCTCTGAGTCTGGAACTTTTCTTGCAAACGTTTCATTACCCAACTAGATTACACCATCAGGGCTAGAAATGGATGGGGTTTGTGGAGAGGAGGAAGAGGACGAGAAAGTGAAGGAGCAGGAGGTGAAGGAGGAGGAGGACCGTGGGATCCTTGGTGCTCTGAGCCTGGAACTTTTCTTGCAAACATTTCATGACCCAACTAGATTACATCATCAGTGCTAGAAGGAAGTGGGGTTATATTGTATATAAGCAGAGAGAAACTCCCCCCCCTTCTAACACTGATAATGTTTCCTAGTTGGGTCATAAAACGTCTGCAAGAAAACCACCCAGCTCAGGGAGCACCAAGGACCCTCCCCCCATGTCAACCTGGTCTGCTCGTCCAGCTTCCGTGAGGGGGCTCTGGCCGAAAGCATGACTCACCAGCCGAATCTTCTCCGAGCTTCGGGGTCCTTCCGAACCATCGTAGATGATTTTCTGGAGGCCGCAGATGGCCTTGATGGTGCTATTGCTGTTGTTGGACGAGAAGTTGGCCTTGTAGTCCGGCGGCTGCTGGATCATGGGCCGCACCGTCGCCGTGGTGACCACTCGGCTGGGCGCCACGGCGTCTTCCTGGCTCTTCGTCTCCTTGAAGAACTTCTCGTATTTGTCCAGGTAAGGCGGACGCTCGGGGAGGAGATAGTAGTGGGTGTTACTGACTTTCCGTCCGTCCTTCACGATGGGCAGGATGCAGGGTCCCTTGGCGCTTTCCTTCCCCTGGGCCTGGATGACCTTAGGGGTGGCATACTTGGGGTCCAAGGCGAAACTCTGGGTGGTGGGCATGGGATGCTTCCCGGGGGAGGTGGACAGGAAGGCCCCCAAGGAAAGCGGGGAGCAGAGATTGGTTCTCGGCTGGGGAGATCCGCCTTGGAGGGCCCTCGGACTGGGAGTTCTGGATCCCGGTTGGGACAACCGATCTCGCGGAGGGATCTGAGGAGGGCGGGCTTCCTCCCCTCCAGAAGCCGGGGAGAGGTCTCCAGACCAGCGGCCATGCTCGTTCCTGCGGAAAGGGAGGGGCAGGATGGGCACGCGAGGAGGGATCTGCGGCTTGTCCTCTCCTGGACTAGGGATGGTGGCCACGGAAGGTCCTCCCAAGGGGACGTTGAGGTGCTTCATGCATTCCTGCTGGAGTTCCTGGAAAATTTCGGTGGTTTGAGCCGGGCTGGGTTGCTTGCTCTCCTTGGGGGGCAGGAAGAGGTTGTCGTCCAAGGGGAGAGCGGGATGGTCTCCTTCGGGGGCGAAGCTGCCGTTGACCTCCCCCTTGCCCCAGGGTCTGCTCCCCCGCGTACGCCCCACCAGCTCTTCGGCGCTGTTGATGGAGCAGACCTCGAAGTCTTCTTCGTCTTGAGCCACGTCGTCGTAGGCCGGTGGGGGAGGAAGGGGCCGGGCGTCCCAGTCCACGATGGGCGTAGGGTGCAAGGGGCGGGGCAGCGCTTGGGTGGGGCTCTGAGGAGGGGTCTTGTCCAACAAGGAGAAGGCCTCCATGGCCAAGCGAGCCAAGGAGGGGGCGCAGAAGTCCCCGACGGGAGACGGGCTGGGGGGAAGGAGCTCGTCCCCAAAGTCTATGAGGGTCACCTCATTCACGGGGGGGCCGCCCCCTTTGGAGCGGGGCAGGAGCAGTCTCTCGCCCACCTTGGTGCCCGAGACGCAGGCGGAGGGCTTGGGAACCTGCAGGCCTCCTCGGACCCCAGACCCAGATTTCTTTTTCAGGCAAAGCTGCTTGAGGCTGATGGCCAGGGGAGGCTCTTCTTCATTCACCGGGTCGTACAAGGGCTCTGAAAGACAAAAGGCAGGCTGTGGTTTTCTCTTTTTTTTTTTCTTTCTCTCTTTCTTTCATGTTCTCCTTTCTTTTTTTATTTCTCTTTCATCCTTTCTTTCTTTCTTTCTTTTTCTTTCATGCTTTCCCTTTGTTTCTCCTTCATTCTTTCTCCCTCCCTTTTTCTTTCATTTTTTCTTTCTTACTTACTCTATTTCTTTCCTTCTCTCCATTCCCTTCCTTCCTTCTTACTCTTTCTTTCCTTATTCCTTTTCTTTTTCTTATTTCTTCCTTTTCTTTCTTTTCTTTACCTCTTTTTCTCTTTTTCCTTCCTTCCCTCCCTCCCTCCCTCCCTTCATTTTTATCCTACTTTTATTACTTTATAGGTAACTCAAGGTAGGGAACAGACCTCATATTCCTTCTTATTCCTCTTTTCCTAACAACAACCCTGCAAAGTGCATTGGGTGGGCCGAGTGTCACTGGTCAAAGTCATCCAGCTGGCTTTCATGCCTAAGGCAGGACTAGAACTCACCGTCTCCTGGTGATTGGCCCAAAGTCACTCAGCAGGCTTTGTATCTAGGTTAGAACTGGAATTCTTTGTCTCCTGGTTTCAGTCTTAATTACCCTTGTTCAGTCGCGCTGTAATTTCGAATGGCTGCTGAACAAGTGGTTGTTAAGCAAAGACTATCTGTATTTTTAGAGCACGGGTGTCAAACGGGCAGCCCACTGGTCGGATGTGCCATGTGCAGGCCACGTCCACTCCAGCTCCGCAAAAGGGGGAAAAAAAGTCACGAACTGTCACATGACAGCAACGTGTCGCCACAAGTTTGACACCCGTGTTATTAGAATAGGGGAAAGTTGGACCTGGTCACCCATGGTGAATACAGGAAGAACAGAATTTCCCAATCAAGAGGAAATGCTTGTCTGCCTTGCTTCTCTCCAAGATCTTCCCCTCGTTTTTCGAGGTCGGGGCCAGTGGTGAAATCCTCTGAAATTTGCTACCGAGCGCGCAGTTTGTATGTGTGAGGCGCGCCTGCGCAGCGCTAAAAAAGGAACATTTTGAAGCCTTCCGAGTCTGCAAAGATAAGTAGAACAGCGAAGGGGTGGGGAAATCCTCTGTGCCACGCGATTTAGATTAGCTAGAAAGAAGGAAATCCGACGAGTCTAGCTAATATAAATCGCGCATCACAGCCGATCGTTGCGTCGGCAATATCGGTTCGTGCGAACCGATAACATTATTTACTACCGGTTCAGGTGAACCGGTCTGAACCGGTAGCATTTCACCCCTGGTCGGGGCCAGGTGAATGGGGGATAGGCAGCGGTCATAGAATACCCTCCCATCCCCAGGCGGAAGGAAGGAATGACTTGGATAGACAGGAGGAAGAAAAGCCGCAATCAAATCAACCATCAGATAAAAGAAACCCAAGTCTGGAACAGAACTGTAATCGGAGAAAGTGTCTCAAATAAGCCTCTCCCCGTTTCTTACTCTGATAAAGGGAGGAAGGGGCGGGGGAAGGAGCACATTCAGACTCGCAAAATTCTATTACTCCAATCTTAAAGGTAGTCTCCACATTAACGGACTAACAGAGTTGGAAGGGACCTTATAGGTCATCTAGTCCAACCCCCTGCTCAAGCAGGAGACCCTACACCATTTCTGACAAGAGGGCAGTCCAATCTCGTCTTGAAAGCCTCCAGGGATGAAGCTCCCACAACTTCCGAAGGCAACTTCTGTTCCATGGATTGATTGTTCTCACTATCAGAAAATTCCTCCTTATTTCTAGGTTGAATCTCTCCTTGGTCAGTTTCCATCCATTATTCCTTCTCTGGCCTTCAGGTGCTTTGGAAAAATAGCTTGGCCCCCTTCCTCCTCTCTGGGGCAGCCCCTCAAATACTGGAAGATGCTCTCCTGTCTCCCCTGGTCCTTCTCTTCACTAGACTAGCCAGGCCCAGTTCCTGCAACCGTTCATCGTATGTTTTAGCCTCCAGTCCCCTCATCATCCTGGTTGCTCTTCTCTGCACTCTTTCTAGAATCTCAACATCTTTCTTATAGTGTGATGACCAAAACTGGGTGCAGTACTCTAGGTGTGGCCTTACTAAGGCTTTATAGAGTGGTTTCCTACTACCTCGAAGGGCTGACCTATCCAGAAAGGAACAAAGAGAAGAAAAACACAAGAGGCACAACAGCCGGAAACATGGCCCCACTTACGCTTGAGAAGGATCGAGGGCTGGGGCGGCCGAGGTGGCGGCTGTCCTGCAGGAGAGAGAGAGAGGAAGAGAGGAGAGAAAGAGAAAGAGAGACCGCAGCGAAAGGGAAAGAAGGGAGCAGTGCTTTAGTTGGTGGCTTCAGGCGAGGTTGGAGGGGCAGAGGGAGGGCATAATAGGCGGTGCGCAAGCAGTCAATCGATAGGGCCAGGAATGACCCCCTGGGGTAGGCAGAGGTGTCGCCCCCTAAACAGTGAGACTGTTTTCCTTAAAAGCAGCTGCTTCCTTTCTGCAGGACGCAGAACGAACTACTCAGAGATCCGAGGGTTAAAAGTCAAGATGGCATTTTTTTCTACTTAATTTTTCTTCTTTTTTTTTTCATTTGCAAATATACAGGTAGTCCTCGCTTTACTACCACAGTTAAGCCCAACATTTCTATTGCTAAGCGAAAAAGTGGTTAAGTGAGTTTTGCCCCATTTTACAACCATTCTGGCCACCGCTGTTAAGCGAATCACCGCGGTTGTTAAACGAGTAACACAGTCGTTAAGTGAATCCAGCTTCCCCAGTGACTCTGCTTGTCAGAAGGTCACAAAAAGGGGCTCACGTGATCCCGGGACACTGCGACCGTCATAAATACGAGTCAGTTGCCAAATATCCGAATTTTGATCACATAACCATGGGGATACTACGACGGTCGTTAAGTGTGAAAATCGGCCATAAATCACTTTTTTTCAGGGTCAGTCACTAAATGAACTGTTGTAAGTCAAGGGCTACGTGTACTCAGATGAGAAGTTTAAAAGTCAAGATGGCATTTTTTTTCTGCTTAATATTTTTTCCCTTTTTTGCATTTACAAAAAACAATATCATGGTCATTTTGTCATTATTTATTTGATTTCTATATTCGCCCGTCTCAGCAAATGATTCTGAGCAGCTCACAACAGATGTTGACTCAAAACAAGGAAGCTTTTTGAAGCTTGTGAATACAAGTGGTCCTCGACTTAACGACCATTCGCTTAGCAACCAATTGAAGTTATAAAGGTGCTGAAAAAGGCCTGGTTCTCGCACTTACGACCGCTGTTCTACCCACATGATCGCAGTTTGGATGCTTGGCAACCGGCTCACATTTACGACCAGTTGTGCTGTCCTGTGGTTACGTTTCCAGAATTTCTGGGCCAGTTTACAGCAACGAATAGCCGTTCGGTACAATGGGTTCATACTTATAACCGCTGGGTTTCATTTTACAATGACCGGCATAAAAATGGTTGCAAAATAGAGTTCGAATTGACTTACGACCGCAAGGACTTATGATGGAAATGCCTGTCCCCATTGTGGTCATAAGTCGAGGACTATCTGTACGAGAATCTTTTGAAACGGGGTTCTGCAACAAGGAACCGAAAACGGAAGGCGTGAGGGAAGGAGCTGCGAGTGCGAGAGAATAAAAAAAAACGCATTGAAAGCCCAAGAACCCGTTGCAAAGAAAAAGGTCTGAGAAAACAGCTCTCTCCAACGGCCAGATGTGGTGGCACTACAGTTTCCATGGTTCCCATCCACCCTGTTGGAGAGGACAGGCCCAGGACACACCGTGGTGGCAGGCTCAGCATTTTTACCTTGTTTCACAGTATCTGATGCTCACTGAGTTTGGTGGTTTTCTAGCAGACATTTTATGACCCAACTAGGTGGCATCATCAGTTCTAGAATGGAAAGGAGTTATACTGCTTATAAACAAAGAGCAAATGCCCATTTCTAGCCTGATAATGTTACCTAGTTGGGAAATGAAACGTCTGCAAGAAAACCACCAAGCCCAGAGAGCACCAAGGACCCCACAGTCCTCCTCCTACTTCCTCCTGCCTTCACCTCCTCCAACCTCAGCCCTGATGATGTTACTAAGTTGGGTCATGAAACGTCTGCAAGCTCAGAGAGCACTAAGGACCCCACAGTTCAACCCTGCGCTGCCGAGATTCCCTTCTTATTGGGTTTGTTTGTTTGTTTGTTTATTATTAATTAATTAATTACATTTCTATACCGCCCTTCTCCCGAAGGACTCAGGGCGGTGTACAGCCATGATAAAATAATACCAACACAAAAATTAAAAAAACAATTTAAAATAATTTAAAACATTGGCCGTATTTAAAACCCCTAGCTAAAACCCCTTTAAAATCATTAAAACCCACTTAAATTAATTCATTCTGTCAGGCCAGCTTGCTGAAACAATAGAGTCTTCAGCGCACGACGGAAGATGCGGAGGTCTTAACGGTTGTTTGGCTTTGAAAACTACAGTTCCCAACATGCATCAGTGCGGAGGACCCCAGACGAAAGGCATTCTGGGACTTGCAGTTCTACAATGCACACGCTGCAATCTCGCCGTGCCGGAGTGAATACAGAACCGGTTCAGGTAACAAATGATAAGTTAGATGACTTTTTTTTTTTTTTTTAAATAACTTTTCTTACTTCTTGTCCTTCCTGGGAGCTGCGTAGGCCGAGCTGGGTTCAAATCCAAGCCTAGGACATCCGGGGGGTCCATGGGATTTCCCAGGTACAAGCTGCAGAAAAAGGATGATGGGGGAAGAAAAGAGAGAGAGAGAGAGAGAAAAAGATGAAACAATCTACTGGCTGCGTTCTCCGATCCTTCTTTCCTTTCTCTTGCTACTTTAGACTCTACTACACGGAGCACCAACAACGTGGAGTTTCTACCTCAAGAGAGTTTGCAGACTTGCTGTCCGGATGGGGGTAGCTCACCGAGAGGAAATCGTATTTGTTTGGATGATTTAACATTAGCGCAGCGGAAAAGGGCAAATATAGCGCTAGTTTGGTCTAGTGATTAATGTCCAGAAACCAGGAGACGGTGAGTTCTAGTGCCACCTTAGGCATCAAAGCCGGCTGGGTGACTTTGGACCAATCACAAGGAGACTGGGAGTTCTAGTCCTGTCTTAGGCACAAAAGACAGCTGGGTGACTTTGGGCCAATCACCAGGAGACTGGGAGTTCTAGTCCTGTCTTAAGCATGAAAAATAGCTGGGTGACTTTGAGCCTATCATCAAGAGACAAGGAATTCTAGTCCCACCTCAGGCACGAAAGCCGGCTGGGTGACTTTGGACCAATCACGAGGAGACTGGGAGTTCTAGTCCTGTCTTAGGCACAAAAGACAGCTAGGTGACTTTGGGCCAATCACCAGGAGACTGGGAGTTCTAGTCCCGCCTTAGGCATGAAAGCCAACTGGCTTTCACCAAGAACTCACCAGGAGATGGTGAGTTCTAGTTCTCTGTTAGTTCAAAAGCCAACTGGGTGTCTTTGGGCCGATCACTAGGTGACATTGAGTTCTAGTCACGCCTTAGGTATGAAGGACAGCTGGGTGATTTTGAGCCAATCACCAAGAGATGGTGAGTTCTAGTCCCGCTTTAGGCATGAAAGCCAACTGGCTTTCATCAGGAAGTCACCAGGAGATGGTGAGTTCTAGTTCTCTGTTAGTTCAAAAGCCAACTGGGTGTCTTTGGGCCAATCAGTAGGTGACAGTGAGTTCTAGTCACGCCTTAGGTATGAAGGACAGCTGGGTGATTTTGAGCCAATCACTAGGAGATGGTGAGTTCTAGTTCTCTGTTAGTTCAAAAGCCAACTGGGTGTCTTTGGGCCTGTCATGTCTTAGCCCAACTCACCTTAAAGGGTTGTGGACGAAATAGGAGGATGGGCGAGGAATATTAGATATGTTCCCTGAATATGGGATGGGTTTTGTAGTGTGAGAGTTTCTAGGCCTCTTGAGTTTGGCTTTTCAACATGTCAGGACGCAGGGGAAACTGAGGAACACAAACAGCAGAACTGAGTAGGCCTTATTACAGGTAGTCCTCGACCGACGGCCACAATTGAGCCCAACATTTCCATTGCTAAGCAAGACACTTGAGTTTTGCCCCATTTTATGACCTTTCTGGCTACAGTTGTTAGATCAAATCACTGCAGTGCTTATCTTAATAACACGGTTGTTAAGTGAATCTGGCTGCCTCACTGACTTGGCTTGCTCGCAAGGTCGCAAAGTGTGATCACGTGACCCTGTGATACTGCAACTGTCGTAAGTGTGAACCACTTGCCAAGTGCCTGAATGATGATCATGTGAACCCCGGGAAAGGGGGGGGGGGAAAGAATGCTACAACTGTCAAGTATGAAAAACGGTCGTAAATCACTTTTTTTCAATGCCGGTGCAACCTTGGACGGTCACTAAATGAATGGTTGTAAGTGGAGGACAACCTGTAGCTTCAGGGGAAGAGGTGGGCTTCACACAACCTGGGCACGCTGCTTGTTGCCCACCAGATAAAGAAACCAGGATCTTTAACCTGTGATACCCATCAGAATAGAGCTGGAAGGGGCCTTGGAGATCTTCTAGTCTAACCCCTTGCTGAAGAAGGAGACCCTATACCAGCGATGGCTAAGCTTTTTGCCATCAAGTGCCAAAAGTGGGGGTCGCGCAGGTGTGCCCACACCCATAATTCTATGTGCCCCACCCCCTGTGCATGTGCGTGCGACTCCCATCCGCTCCCGCCATGCGATGGTACGGTGGAACCGGAAGTCGGGAAACAAGCCGTTTCCGGCCTCCAGAGGCGTGGGGAAGGCCATTTTTGCCCTCCCCAGGCACCTAGAAAGGTTCTGGAGCCTGGGGAGAGTGAAAAACAGGCCTTCCGGTCCTACCGGAAGTCAGGAAAAAGGCCATTTCTGGCCTCTGGGGGGGTGGGGAAGGCCACTTTCACCCTCCCCAGGCTCCTAGAAAGCCTCTGGAGCCTGGGGAGAGCGAAAAATGGGCCTTCCTCACCCTCCCGCCCCCGGAGACCCTCCAGAGGCCAGAAATAGCATGTTTCCTGACTTCTGGTGGGCCCAGAAGGCCTGAAAATCAGCTGGCTGGCGCATGCATGCACACCGGAGCTCAGCTGGCGTGCCCACCAATATGGCTCCATAGGTTCGCCATCACGGCCCTATACTATTTCACATAAATGGATGTCCAGTCTCTTCTTAAAAACCTCCAGCGATAGGAGCATCTACAACAACTTCTGGAGGCAAGCTATTCCATTGATTAATGGTTCTCACTGCAGGAAATTTCTCCTTATCTTCCTCCCTTCCTCCCTTCCTCCGTTCCCTCTCTCTCTCTTTCATACTGATAAGTCTGAAAGGAAACTCATTTGTCAGAATAGAGTTGGAAGGGGCCTCGGAGGTCTTCTAGTCCAACCTCCTGCTCAACTAGAAGACCCCCATACCATTTCACACAAATGGCTGTCCAGTCTCACCTTAAAAACCTCCAGTGATAGAGCACCCGCAACTTCCAGTGGCAAGCAGTTCCACTGGTTCTCACTGTTAGGAAGTTTCTTCCTCATTCCAGATTCCCCAAACATGGCTCACCAGTGACCAAATCCATCGAACCTCTAGCTTTGCCCAACAACTCCCTGCGTCATAAAACGCGCCCTCCTGTTTTCGTTTGCACAATATGCTAAAACCACAACCCGACACCCATCTACACACCCTAAATTGTTCACCCTGAATCAGGTCGAGAAAAAAAACATCCTTGCAACGATCGCAGGCAGAGGCTCCTGAGTTTGTGGCCCGGAAAAAATAAATAAAAAAAATCTCTTTTTGTGTTGTTGTTTGTGGGTCAACCAAGGCGGTTTGTGACGAACCCGTTTAACCGGTCGTCTGAATGCTTCGGGGTCGTTTTGGACTCAGCCTGGCTCAACCCGTGTGCAAACAAACACACTCACAACTTAACTGGCAGCCGGCCAACCTCAAGGCACCCAACCCAGCTCCCACGTCGAGAGCCGGAGTTGTGCAACCTTAGGGGAGGGCACAACTCCGTGGCCAAAAATGCACACCCACACCCACGAGTCACACCCCGGAGCTGTGGCCACGGCCCGACGTATCTTATGTTTCGGCAATAAAACCCCGATGTGAAAGGTAAGATTTGTCCCGGCAGGAGCCAAAGAAGGAAACCACCTTCCTATACAGGATGTGGGGAATGATGCCTCCTGCCCGTGTTGCAAGTTTCGCACCCGTTTCCGAGGCCAACTGCAGCGACGTGTGGGCGTAGGAGTGAGTCGGTGACTGTGTTAGAAAGGAAGTGAAGCGAAGGTGGGAGCAGGAATCTCAAAGGCCCTTTTCAGGGAAAGCAAAATAGAAAGGTCTGTGAAAACGGCTTCTGTGTTTCTGCGCACAAAAGTTCTTTTCTTTTTCAGTAAAAATAAAATTCTATTCAGGGTTTTCCCCCCTTTTTTTAAAAAAAATGGCCAACCGACTTCTCCGGGCTCCGTTCCCCACCGTCTGCATTCACACAAACCCAGTTAAAAATCTCGGTACTCGGATAGGCTACATATGTGCTAAAATGGCTTAGGTTTAACCTCAGTTTGTTCTCTCTTGGCTGTGTGTGTTGTGCACATCCAGGGTTTATGGTTCTTTCTGAATGCAACTTCAGAAAAATAAAAAAAGGAGGGGGGGGAATCACGTCCGTTCGTGCGAATGCGGCCAATTTTGCCATCAAGAGGCAGGTTTGGCAATTGGGTTCTGGTGCATATTTTGTGGCCCAGCGGGAAGTACTCTTGCCCATACTGACCAGACTCAAACAGAATCGAGCTGGAAGGGACCTTGGAGGTCTTCTAGTCCAACCCCCTGCTCAAACAGGAGAACCTATACGAGTGATGGCTAACCTTTTTGCCATTGCGTGCCAAAAGCGGGGGTCGTGTGTGTGTGTGGGGATGTCGCGTGCACACATGCCCACACCCATAATTCTATGCGCCCTGCCCCCTCAGTGCATGCACACGCAACCCCCCCAAGCAAGTCCCACTTTTGGCACGTGGGCCTGATAGGCCAGTTTTTTGCCCTCCCCAGGCTCCAAAGGCTTTCTAGGAGCCTGGGGAGGGCGAAAACAGCCTTCCCCACTACCTCCCGGAAGCCCTCCGGAGGCCGGAAACAACCTGTTTCCCGACTTCCGGTGGGCCCAGAAGGCCCGAAAATCATCTGAGCTCGCGTGCCCACCGATATGGCTCCACGTGCCACCGGTGGCACACATGCCATAGGTTCACCATCACGGCCCTCTACCATTTGAGATAAGTGGCTGTCCAATCTCTTAAAAACCTCCAGCGATGAAGCACCCATCTGGTGGCAAGCTGTTCCACTGGCTAATTGTTCTCGCTGTTAGGAAGTTTCTCCTTAATTCCAGGTTGCTTCTCTCCTTGATTTAGCTTCCATCCATTGTTTCTTGTGGTGCCTTCTGGTGCTTTGGAGAATAGTTTGACCCCCTCTTCTTTGGGGCAGCCCCTCAAATGTTGGAAGACTGCTATCCTGTCGCCCCTGGTCCATCTTTTCTCTAGACTAGCCATATCCAATTCCTGCAGCCGTTCTTCGTACGTTTTAGTCTCCAGGCCTTTGATCATCCTAGTTGCTCTTCTTTGCGCTTTTTCCAAACTCTTGAACATCTTTTTCGTAACGTGGTGACCAAAACTGGATGCCGTATTCCAGATGTGGCCTTAACTAAGGATTTACAAAACGGCACTGATCCTTCATGTGATTTTGACTCTACGTATGCCTCTGTTTCTACAACCAAGGATTGTATTAGCTTTTTTGGCTGCTGCTGCACACGGCTGGCTCGTATTTAAGCGATCGAAATATGCTTCTCTGTTGGCAATGATTAAATTTACACAGGTAGTCCTCAATTTATAACCGCTCACTTAGCGAAAAGTACAAAGTTGTAACAGCACTGAAAAAAAATGTGTTGTCAGACTGCGCTACAGTCCTCGCACTTACGACCGCTGCAGCATTACCCATGGTGTGGCCAAATTTCAGGCGCTTGGCAGACGGCATGTTATTTAGGACGGCTGCAGCATCCGGGATCACGTCATCACTATTTGCGACGTTCCGAACCGGAATTCTGATAAGCAAAGTCAATGGGGAGGAAGCCCAATCGTGTGATTCAGCTTAACCACCGTGGCAAAAATGGTGGTTAAAATTGAGTGTGTCTCACTAAGCAACAGAAAATCCTGATTTTTCTGACCCCGATTGTCCTTTGTAATCTCAGGATTATCTATACGACGCCCCTCTCCCTGTTGAAATGATTTTGGGTGGCATATATATATAGGCTTTTTTTCAGGCAGCCAGCAAGCACTCTGCTGCCCATTGGGAGACTAAGGAGACTGGGCAGCAGAGTGCTTGCTGGTTGCCTGAAAAAAAGCCTAGAAACTAGTGAATTGTGATTTCACTGAACTAGGGCTGCATAAAAATCTTGGTTTACGTAGGAAGAACCTGGCTAAAGAGAAATACATATACATACATACATACATACATGTAGGACTTTGGTTATTCGGGTTTTGTCCCACGTAAAATTGGAAGTACCTTGGCGACGTTTTGACGAAGTCTCATTCGTCATCTTCAGGCTGGTGTCTTCAGCCTTGTGCTTCTAGGAGCAATGTTAGAATCCTAGAAGGACAAGGCCGAAGACACCAGCCTAAAGATGACGAATGAGACCGTCAAAACGTCACCAAGGTACTTCCAATTTTACGCAGGACAAAATCCGAATAACCAAAGACCTACATACAAATACCCTGGAACGAACCTGGCTAAAGAGAAATACACACACACACACATATATATATCTAAAATTAAATTAAAAGGAATTAAATAGATTATGGAGTCCTTGGTGCTCTGAGCTGGGTTATTTTCTTGCAGGCGTTTCATGACCCAACTAGGTAACATCATCAGGGCTGGTGAGAACTGTATACAAACAGATAGCAAATCCCATTCCCTTCCAGCACTGATGATGTTACCTAGTTGGGTTGTAAAACATCTGCAAGAAAATCACCAAGCTCTGAGAGCACCAAGGACCCCACAGTCCTCCTCCTCTCTGCAAGTCCCTTTCCCTTCCAGCACTGATGATGTTACCTACTTGGGTCATGAGACGACTGCAAGGAAAAAAACCCCAAGCTCAGAGAGCACCAAGCAGCCCATCGTTCATCATCTACAAAAAATTCTCTTCTCTTGATTAAAAAGAGAATAATTTGGCTTCCTCTTCTCCCCCAATGGCAACCGAGAGAGGAAGCCATGACTATTTCTTGCTGGATAATTCGTGCCAGAATGACCCCCCAAATCAGCTAACCTTGTTCTGAGTTGGTGGCAGGTACCGTTTCCCCCAAAATAAGACCTCCCCTGATAATAAGCCCAATCGGGCTTTTGAGCGCATGGCAATAAGGCCAAGCGCTTAATTCAGGGTTCAGAAAAATATAAGACAAGGTCTTATTTTCAGGGAAACACGGTAGGAGCGATGCAATCTCCTGGTTCTGGAACCAGGGTTGCATATCCCAGTCAGAAACGACCCAGACAAAACGACAGGGTACTGCAAAAACCATACTCATCCTCCGTCTTACTTACTCATCAATCTTATCGGGGAAGCCCCAGCTCTGCTGCGGGTTGGTATCGCCATGGCCCGTATGGATGAAGCTGTTCTTCAGTGGCTGGCTAATGTCGTGGGCGGACAATCCCGCCACGGAAGTCACCGTGTTGCGTGGGAATTGTCCCACCTTCAACGTCCGCTTATTCTGTCCGCGCCACCAGTAGTTCTCCGCCCTAGGGAAAGAAGACAAAACCAGGTTAGCGGAAAGACCGAAAAAAAGGAAGTTTAGGTTTGGGTAGGTGGGTGATGTCCCTTCCTTAAACTGGGATTTCCTCACCCCTCTCCGATTTGGGAGTTGGGGTCCCCACACATCTGGGGAGGGGGGATTTTGCCAGGTTGGAGAACGGTGGTCCACCACAGTTAAATCGAATCTGGCCTCTTCCTTTTTTAGAAGGCTCTGTTGATCAAGAGGACTAGCGACTTGGAGTAGGATTCACATCTTAGTATAGAAGATTCTTAAAGCAAATATTTAGTTTACTTTATTGTCATTGCACCTCGTACAACGAAATTAAATGCCACCGTCAGCGTACATTAAAACTATAAAAATAAAACACAAACGCACATCCTTCACATTCTATACAACTGAACTGAAAACCGGATATTGCATTAGTATTGCACTATAGAATAGAATAGAAGAGAAGAGAAGAGAAGAGAAGAGAAGAGAAGAGAAGAGAAGAGAAGAGAAGAGAAGAGAATAGAGGATGCAGTGCCTCAGTGGCTAAGATGCTGAGCTTGTCGATCAAAAGGTCGGCAGTTCAGCGGTTCGAATCCCTAGTGCCACGTAACAGGGTGAGCTCCCGTGACTTGTCCCAGCTTCTGCCAACCTAGCAGTTCGAAAGCCCGTAAGAAATGCAAGTAGAAAAATAGGGACCACCTTTGGTGGGAAGGGAACAGCATTTGGTGCGCCTTTGGCATTGAGTCATGCCGTCCACATGACCACTTAGACGTCTCGGACAGCGCTGGCTCTTCGGCTTTGAAACGGAGATGAGCACCGCCCCCTAGAGTCAGGAACGACTAGCACATATGTGCGAGAGGAACCTTTACCTATACCATAGAATTCAATAGTTACTGCCCTGGGATAGAAGTTGTTTTTCAGCCTATTTGTCCTTGTCGTTATTCTCCTGTACCGGCTGCCAGATGGTAATAGTTCAAAAAAAGGGTGCCCAGGATGAGATGGATCTTTTAAGAACCGCGAGCGTCCCAGGTCAAGTCCTCTTATAGAAATGACTCGTTTATACTACTATGTAAAAGTAAAAAGTTGTGGCTTGATGTTATTATTCTCCTGCACCAAAAGGAGTCTCAAGTCAATACAGGTAGTCCTCGACTTACGACCCCAATTGAGGCCAACACTTATGTTGTTAAGTGAGAAAAGAGTTTTGCCCCATTTTACAACTTTTCTTGCCACATTTGTTAAGTGAATCACTGCAGATATTAAATTAGTCACATGGTTGTTAAGCGAGTCTGGCTTTCGCACGGAGTTTGCTTGTCGGAAGGGCGCAAACGGCAATCGCGTGACCTCAGGGACCCTGCGACCGTCATAAATGAGTCAGTTGGCAAGCGTCCGAATTTTCATCACAATGACCCTGGGATACTGCAGCTGTCATAAGCGTGAGTCAGTTGTCAAGCCACTGAAAGCTACAGTTAGTCCTTGACTTAGGACCCATGATGGAACCCAATGTTTCCATCGCTAAGCAAGACGGTTGTTAGGCGAGTTTTGCCCCATTTTAACTATATTTCCTGCCACCATTGCTACGTAAATCCCCTGCAGTTGTTAAAAGTTAGCAACTTGATTGTTAAGTGAATCCGGCTTCCCCCCACTAACTTTGCTTGGCAGGAGGTCGCTCAAGGGGAAATCGCATGACCCGGGGATGCTGCGACCGTCGTATGTATGAATCAGGTGCCAAGCGTCCGAATTTTGATCGCGCGATCACGGGGATGGTGCAACGGTGAGGGTGGGAAAAACACCATCATAAATCTCTTTTTTACAGTGCCATTGTAACTTTGAAACAGAGGTGAAATGCTCCTGGTTCGGACCGGTTCAGCTGTACCGGTAGCGATGGCGACCGGTGGTTCAGAGAACCGGTAGCGATGGCGATGTGAGGCTCCGCCCACCTGCCCGGTCGTCGTTACTTCCTGGTTTTAACCAGGAAGTAACCTGTTTTTTACCCTCTGTGCAGAGGTGAAATGCTCCCGGTTCGCCCGATCTGGTAGCGATGGCGGTGGGTGGTTCGGAGCACCGGTAGCAAAAATCCCTGCGGCCCCCCCCATGCCCAGCTGAGCCACACGATCATCAGAGGCCTTTTTTTTAAACTTTTAAAAGCATTTTTTATACAACCTCTTCCGACGAAAAAATGCTTTTAAAAGTAAAAAAAAAAAAAAGCCTCTGATGATCGCGCGATTCAGCTGGGATCGTCAGAGGCTTTTCAAAGCATTTTTCCTGCAACCTCTTGGCCGAAGAAGTGGTAAAAAAAAAAATGCTTTGAAACGTCTCTGACGATCCCAGATGAGTTGCCTGATCAGCAGAGAGGCTTTTCAAAGCATTAGAAAAAATGCTTTGAAAAGTTTTTTTTTAAAAAAATTGGCCACGCCCACCCAGTCACATTACCCCACCACCAAGCCACGCCCACAGAACCGGTAGTAACAAATTTTACATTTCACCCCTGCCTCTGTGCATGCGCAAAGGGTTTGCGCATGCACAGAGGGGCCGTGCGTGCACGATGCGTGCACTTCCGAACCGGTTGGGAAGGTAAGTACATTTCACCCCCTGCTTTGAATGGTCACTAAACAAACGGTCATAAAGTGAGAACTACTTAGAAAACCACCAGACTTGGTTAGAGACAGGTTTTGCCGGCCATTTCTGCAGCCAAGCCCTTAAATCCAACCAGCCGGTTTGCCATTTGCAAAAAAATAAAAAATAAAAAAGGGGGGGGGGGGAGAGCCATCTCTCCAATAAACCGTGGTTTGCCCACAGACTAATCCAGGGACTGTCTTAGCTCCTGCCTGCAGGAAGCCCTTTCCTCTCCTTCTCTGCCCACGCTGAGTAATGACTTGGCGAGGCTTGCCAGGAAGGTAAACAGGAAACATGGGCAGAGCCAGCCGGCCGGCCCATGAAGAATGAGTCACAGGTAACACCAGGAGACAGCTTCCCCCCCCGAGGAGGAACCGGGGCTGGTGTGGGACACAAAAGCCCAGCTGTCCACCGGCTCTCCCCCAACAGTCATATGAGTTTGCCCAAAACAAAATAAATAAATAAAAATTTGATCTGCAGCTTCAATTACTGCAATCAGAACATTTGCATTTTTTTTTTGGTCAGTTTCAGTGGGGGCTCCTGAAGACGGTTTCTAGTATCCCCCCCACCCACACCCCCCGGGCACCTCAGAGTGCTGGGCTGCCCATGATTGCAAAGGCCTCTGTTCCTTCTGCTCCAGGGGTCCATATTTATCCATTTAATTCAACCTTTCCCAACCTTGGGAACTTTTAAAGATCTTTGGACTTCAACTCCCAGAATTCCCCAGCGAGCCACGCCTGTTTCTCCCCCCTCCCCCGCTTAAAGTGGAGAGATTGCAGAGGAAGGGATTACAAGAGAGTAAGCTATGCTGGCCGGGGAATTCTGGGAGTTGGAAGTCCACACATCTTAAAAGTTCCTGAAGTTGCTTTAGGGCAGTGATGGTTAACCTTTTTGCCATCGCGTGCCAGGAGAGGGGGGGGCGGGGGAGGGTCGTGCGCGCACGTGCCCACGCGCATGTGTGCGCAACCCCCTCCCCCCCGCTCCTGGCACAGGATGGCCTGGTAGTCCCGTTTTTCTTTGTTACCTGGTTCCAGATCCTCTCTGTGCATCTGGGAAGGGCGAAAACAGCCTTTCCCATTCCCTTGGAGGCCCTACGGAGGCTGAAAGGGCCCATTTCCCAACTCTCGGTGGGACAGGAAGTGACATTTTTTGCTGTCCCCAGCCTCCAGAACTTCTCTAGGAGTCTGTAGGAGCCTCTCTAGGAGTCTCTGGAGGCTGGGGACAGGAAAAAACGTCAGTTCCTGTCCCACCGGGAGTGGGGAAATGGGCCCTTTCAGCCTCCGTAGGGCCTCCAAAGGAGTGGGAAAGGCTGTTTTCGCCCTTCCCAGATACACAGAGAGGATCTGGAGCCAGGTAAGAAAGAAAAATGGGCCTTCCCCACTCCACCCCAGGCCCTCCAGAGGCAGGAAACAGCCAGTTTCCCTACTTCTGGTGGGCCCAGAAGGCCCGAAAATCAGCTGGCCAGCGCACACATGCGCCCCAGAGCTGAGCTGGCGTGCCCACTAATATGGCTTGGTGTGCCACCTGTGGCAAGCGTGCCATAGGTTCACCATCACGGCTTTAGGGAGTATCTGCAAGTAAACAAAGTCAAAAAAAAAGCCAAAATAGTGTCCAATCAAAACTCTGCTGTTCTTTTTCTATCAGGAGTAGCAGGGATTGGCTTGCCACTGCTCTCTTTTGACTTTTTTGCCCTGTTAAAGATTGGCAGCAAAGACGTTAAGCTTGGTTAGCCATAAACCCGGTTTCTTTTTGAGGCTTGGAGCGTTCAGCTTGGGTCGCTTTTATGAGTCAGCAAACAGGTTGATCTATACCCAGGTAGAGTGCCTTGGGGGAAGGCAGCTCTACTAGTTTAACTGGAGCAGGAAAGGAAAACTCGCCAACGACACTCACCCAAAGTTTCTCCTACCTTGTACAGGTAGTCCTCGGCTTACAGCCGTTCGTTTAGAGACAGTTCGAAGTTACAACGGCACTGAAAAAAAAGCGACTTAGGACCGTTTTTCACACTTATGACCGTTGCAGAATCCCCATGGTCCCATGATCAAAAGTCAAACGCTTGGCGTCTGACTCGTATTTATGACGGTTGCAGCGTCCCGGAGTCACACGATCCCCTTTTGCGACCTTCTGACAAGCAAAGTCAACAGGGAAGCCAGATTTGCTTAAAAACCGGATCACTAACGTTAATAACTACTGTGATTCACTTAACGACTAGGACGAGAAAGGTCGGAAAATGGGGCAAAACTCACTTGACACTTTTCCTGCTTAGTAATTAGAAACTTTGGGCTCTATTGCAGTCTTAAGTCCAGGACTACCTGTATTTCGAGTTTAATATCAACATAATAATTTTAAATTGGGGTATTTTAAATTTGGGGGTTTTAATCCGGCCAA